CCACACAGCCGGGGCAACTAAGGAGTGGCTCCGTAAGGAGCATTTCAAGGTCCTGGAGTGGCCTAGCCAGTCTCCAGACCTGAACCCAATAGAAAAATCTATGGAGGGAGCTGAAACTCTGTGTTGCCCAGCGACAGCCCCAAAACCTGAAAGATCTAGAGAAGACCTGTGTGGAGGAGTGGGCCAAAATCCCTGCTGCAGTGTGTGCAAACCTGGTCAAGAACTACAGGAAACGTCTGACCTCTGTAATTGTAAACAAAAGTTTCGGTACCAAATATTAAGTTCTATTTTTCTATTGTATCAAATACTTATTTCATGCAATAAAATGGAAATAAGTTATTTAAAAATCTGATTTTCTGGAATTTTTTTTTGTAGATTGTCTCTCACAGTTGACGTGTACCTATGATGAAAATTACAGATCTGTCCATTCTCTGTAAGTGGGAAAACTTGAAAAATCGGCAGTGTATCAAATACTTATTTACCCCACTGTACTGATGAAGATGTGCCTGCGAGAGCCAAGATATATATTGACTGGCTCTTCTTACAGCCAATCAATAACTTCACCTTGTTTTGACCTCACCGAGTTTAAATGTGCTGAAGGTTTTTCCATTTCATCAGCAGTGTTAAACATGGTAGACAAAACACTTCATAAACACAAATTGTAAACTGCAGTTTGTTAACCAGCTTCAGCTAAAGACTGTTCCTTGTTGTTGATGAAGTTTGGCAAAATTTACAGCCTTTTAGCTTCAGTGTTTATGGCCATTCTGCATGCAGTTGGGGCACAGAAGATCTGTCCATTCTGAAGGCGTTTTTGTTGAATGCCAGACTCCTTACCACAAAACATGTTTGTGTTAATAGAAATATTTTTAAGTAAGCTTAAACACTTGGCAAAGTACCTTATCAAAACTTTATTATTATTATTTTTTAATCTTTAGCAGCCTGTTTCCTGTTTTGTTTGCATTTGTGCACAAGCACACAGGTAATTTGATTCACCTTCCTGCTCAAGGTTTTACACTATTCCACTGATCTACAGGCAACAGCAATGCAAAACAAAACACAGCAGAGCACCAGCAAAAGACAGAAAGAAGACAAGGAGTAAACAGTTGTTAATCCAGGTTTTAAAGTTAAGAAAAATGCAAAGGTTTTATGAAGAAAACACATTTATCCGTGTTCTCAAAGATGCACGCTGCCTTTTGATGAGCAACACTGCATGTATACATAATTTCCTTCGTTTAAAAAAAAAAAAATAAAAAAAAAAACACAGCTCCTGTAACACAGAGTTCAAGAATACATGGTAAAGAAAAAGAAATCATGTTTCTCTGATGTACCTTCCCCATGAGAACCATACAGTCCTCATACGGGGAGTCCAGGTCTCGGGAGTCCAGAGAGATCTCCACCTCTCCTAAGAAGGCGTTTCGGCTGAAGCGACCATGATGCCAGACTGATATCAGCATGGAGCGGGTGAACAGCTGTGTGCGGCTGATAGAGTACTGGTGAAGTATGAGGAGGAGACAAGAGGAATCACAAAGATTAGCAGTGACATAGTGATGGAGAAGTCTTTATGAATAAGACATTATGAGATGAACTCAGATTTTATTGAAGTTGCATCTAAAATTGAATTACCTTCTAAACCTTTATAAAGCAAATACAAAATTAAAGAAAAAAAAAAAAGGTTACAAATGGAATCCTCCAGCTAATTCCATTTCACATGCGACTGTATTTAAGCAGACTATGCAGTGGAAGCCAGGAGCAAAAATCAATATTTGAGAGCAGCTATTCTAATATGCAATGTCAATATCTATCTTAAGGTCTTTGTAGGTGTGGTCATTATTTGCAGCAAGCACGGCTCAAGGTCACTAATCTGAGTGCGTCATAAAGTCAACAGAATAAGGTCTCCAGCTGTGGTGCAGCTAGAGCAGTGCCAGTTAAACCCTCACCTTTAATGTTTCTTTAAAGACTGGGTTGATGGTATTTCTCTTGACGCTGGTCTTCCTTTTGCTCTGGCGAGATTTGTCAGGGAGTAGGTAACATTTGACATAACTGAAACAACAAAAGAGAAGTATGTCCAACAGTGTTTGGCCCAGGCCCTGCTGCTGGTGTTTTGCTGCATTTCCTGACTAAATGCTGTGAAAATAGCAGCTGATGTTCAATTTCCTGTAAAGCTCTTGTAATCACCTCTGGGATCTGATTATCAAGACTTTGTAAGCATACACACCCTCTCATCTCCCATGATCAGGACTGTGCTAGCATCATTGCAGAGTGTGTGAGCAGTAGAAAAATGTTTGTCAGAGCCTCAGTGGGCACTGCTGCTTAATGTGAACCCCAGAGATTGAGCAAATTATCCTTCAAATGTTATGTTCTGCCTACCCGAGCTTCCCATCACAGCTACTATAAGCTTGGAAAATATGAAAGCTTTGAATATTTACGGGTTGGAAAGCTGTCGTGATGCGTCGCCATAGGCCAACCCGTGGCACTCCTTGATGAAGACCTGGAGGCTCTGGGTGTGTTCATCATAGCTCAGAGAGAAGATGACGTCTCCACACACATCCACACTATCAAAGTCTCCTGCTTCACTGTAAACACTCATTAGACTGCCCATCGCGCTCTGCAGATACATACACCCATCTGACATGAGTAAATAATCATTCACAAACCCTGTTTATTCTGAGTTTCATTAATACCAAGTACTGGCATTTAGATATTTGGACAGACACGCTCCAAGCTCAATGCTGCAGATTACAAGTTTAGAAGATAGAAATAAGATGACAAATGTAACTGTACATACAGTAATTGCTAGAGGATCAACAGAAAGTGAGTCAGAGACAAACAAAGAAAGCAAAGATCCGGATGTTTCTGTCAATATCTAAATGCCAAGTGGCAGCATCAAAGCCACGTTGGCCTCAGCTTTGCTTTCCCCGGAGACTTTGGTAACTATAGAAACATTCTGGTTGACGACAGTTTCACTCTTGCTAACTTGCTGGAGGACATCCTGAGGTTACAGATTCTCATTCAGATATGTAAACATCAGCTCTGTCATGAAAGACAAAGAGCCTTTAGAGGACTAATGTGAGCTGTGAGAAATGTCAGTACTTTACCTTCGAGCTATGCAGGCTGGAGGAGCTTGAAGCCATTGTCCTTTTATGCAAGCTAACTAAGCTGTCAATATCTTCATCCTCCTCTTCAGCTTCCTGTGGTACCATAATGAATATTTAGAGGGCTGAACACACCATCTGGTCATCAATGGGTTATAAAGACTTTACCTCTTTGAGTTAAAGGAGTTAAAGGGAAAAATCGACTTTTAAACACTACTGAAGATGTGTCTTTGACTTGTGTACCCTTAAATAAGCAAACGTAAATTAATCAAATTGTTTTAAATGAGTTAAATACCAGGGAAATGTTTAAATATCTGAAACGAACTATAGAAGCCAGGTTTTAGTGTTAGTTCCTAAAACCCAGAGAATGGATTTCTTTCTAGCTTCGTCCATTTGGCTGTGATGTTCAACAAATTGCACAGGAAATAAAAAAGTTAATTCACGACAACACAGTATACAATACCATCTGAATTCAGTGACTTTCCTCACTAACAACGCACCTGTACATCCAAGCCTGGTACAGATTTGCTCCTGTTGCCCATTGAGGTCTCTGAATGGTCAAATCCATCACGCAGGTCCAGTGTCGATACACATTCTGTAATAAACATACAGCTCGGCAGTTAAGCTGTGATGCACACAATTTTTTCATTTGATTTTGGAAGAAAAACAGCATTGCACATGGCGATATACTGTATAAGACGCCAACCTTGAGGCTTTGGGGCTCGTTTGATGCTCTTCTTGAAGAGTCTGTCAACATCCAAATCGGGGTTCGAACTGGCTGGTTTTACTCCTGGGGTCTGTGGTGACAGAAAATGGTGATGCAGAGAGAAGAAAATCCCCCAATAATTGAATCCATGTGCTCTCGAAAGCTTCTTACGGTCTTTGCTTCTGATTTGTCGCTGTCGCCATCTGCTTTGACTGCGACAGACAGACTGGAAACACTGGACCCTGCTGGGCTGGACTTATCTGAGCGGTTCTTTCTCCTGGTTGACAACATAAATGACACATTGAGTGCAGCTTAATCAATGGCATTTGGACATCGCAGCAAATTCTATGCCAAAAGAAGGCGGTTTTAACAGCAAACATCACAACAAGGACAGAACTTTCCTCCAGCATGCAAAGTAGAGACAGTGTTGCAACCAAACCTGAAACTGGCATAAATTGGCAAAAAAAAAAAAAAGATCTGACACAGCTGTGGTCATCTCACCCTCAAACTACTCTAGACACTTCTTTAATGAAGCACACAACCCTGACCCTCTGGGGGAGGAGGCCAGTGCTCACACCTTTCATAATAAATATAGGCGAGTTTACCTTGGTGGGTCAGGGGTCACAGGACCAGATGCGGTGTCAGTTTTACCGCTCTGTATACTGGTCTTTTCTGCAGACTCTGAATTTGTACTGTAAGAGAAAATGTAACGAGGTTGAGATATTAGTGTTCTGAAAATCCACACATTCACATTTCAAAAACTGACAAGACTGATGTGAAACATGACAACAAACCTTTTGTTGGGTATTTTATTCTTCTGCCTGGGCTGGGGGACAGGAGACGAAGGAGCTGGGGTTATTTCACAATTTCTCAACAACACTTGTCCTGTTGTCTCATTCTTCTTCACTGAAAAAAACAAAGAAACAAACAAACAACAAACACTGAATCACATTTCCAAGACAGTTAAAGAAAATGCTCTCATGTTACTGGAGTATAACATTTCTTCCCATCTACTCTCGGCCTAGGACAACATTCCTTTCAGTCTTGTTTACATTCCTAGCTGAACAGTTGAAACCCACTTCCTCCTCCTGTACTCACATGGCCTTTTCAGGGAGAGTCGCACCAAGTCATGCCCAGGCGCTGCAGAGAAACGATTGATGTTTTGGTCATAGAACCACTCACCAGTCTTTTTCTTTACATCCCTGGAATCCAACAAACACACATGGAGAAAAATGTACACTCATTCAGCAGTTAAATGTCATATTGGTTAATATTTACCCAACATGCTGTTAGTTGCACTCTGCAAACTACTGTTCTTTACCCTTATAATTACTATCAGTGTGGTATTATCACTTAAAATAACAGCTTTCACAGATATATGCATTAGTGTCAGCACTGTGTGTTGGCAATCGTGAAGGAAAATGGTTAAATGTACAGACAGATATTCCTGCTTCAAAAATTTGGCATAATTACAAAGGCTCATTCATTACATGTTGATACAACAGTCCTGGAAATCCTCCTTCATGAAGGTGATAATGTTCAGTTTTTATTGAAACCATTTTAAAAGGATTCGATGATTCAACTGTACGATCATTTTGGAGGCTGCACCTTGTGCTGCTGTTGAGCTGTATTGTGTTGTATTGTCTAGTATTTCTATTATTTTGTCCAACCTGTTTATATCAATGAGGGTAAGCTAGATAACAAAACACCTCTCTATATGATGCATTAGAGTTAAACCAACTCCTAATATTGCAGCCCTGTTGTATTGCATTAATTGTTCACTAGTTGTACCTAATAAATTGGCAGCCGAGTGTATTGTCAATCATTAACGTGGTTGCAAATTTCTTTTTTGCGCGTGAAGAGCTGGTAGAGATAAATAAACAAGTAACTGATTATTACTCATTTCAGTCTAAATGTGCACGCGTCTGCTTTCAAATACACATTTTTCATAAAAGGCCATTTCATTTTATTAACAAGGGAGAGTATGAATGACGGCTCTTACGACTCTTTGTCACACACGTTGCACACCCAGGATCCATTGGCGAGGATTGTTCGGCAGTTGCGGCACACATCGTGACTGCACACCGCACACTTGCTGTTGAAAAGAATCAGTGGACTCAAAGGCTCCAGGCATCGGCCACAAATACGCTGACTGTATTTTCCACTGCCACGTTTGGCCCCTTTCCTCTTCACCTCCTGCAAATCTGTCTTCAACTTCCTAAGAGAAACAAAAAATAAAACGGCACAGTATGTGAGGCAGATTTTGGCCACCCATCTAGAGAAGCAAGAAAAGTTTAAACACTGTAGCAGGCACAGAAAGATCTCATCTCTTTTAGTCACGTGTTAGACGCTTGTTATTCCTTAAATGACATCTACATCAAGGACTGGGTCTGGGCAATGTGGCTGACTGATAAATGTACGCAAAAATTACACGAGTCAAACTGACAGTCAGCGCAACGAACTGTTTCCCACTATATGTCAAAAACCAAATTAAAAACTTAAGTTATAATGCAGATTAGGAACATCTGATTAAAGGACAGGTAAACAGGAATAAGAATCTGACCAAGCCTGTGATGCAAACCTTTCATACATGACAGTTGCACAGTTACTTCTACGGACACATTTTGCCCATTTCTTAAAAATATCTTTGCCAGCAGTGAGAGGGCCAATCATAAGACATATGAAATACCTACAGCAACAAATAAAAAGGCCAAAGGAAACTGGATTTTTGCAGCTGATACAATTTTACATATAATACATGGCAAATATTTTTGATAGTCTTTTTTACTGTGCACAAGATGTGCTCCGAGTATGACACATTCAAGTTTAAAAAAAACTTTAGTGCTCGCAGGTACTCTGGCAATGCCACCCTTACTTCTAAAACTACCTGACTCATATGTTGGGATTGTTGTACTAACATTTCGAAGTACCTTTTGATGAGCAAATACACCGATACTGACATATTTGCATTAAGCTAATGCTGCCCAACATATCAACCCAGCCAAATCTCAGATTTAACAATAATACCACACCCCTACAAGGTGAATTTGTTTAACCTGATTAAATTTGTTTTAATTTATAATAAGAAGGTGCTAAGTTTGTATTGCCTTATTTGGTTCTTTTATAACTAATGAGTTGGAAAGGTAAATCAAGCAAGTTAACCATTTAGTCCAATTAAGAGGAAGTGATCTCTTCTCACCGCACACGCTGATCATCAGCATGTCTCAGCTCCTCGTCCCGTTGCAGCACCTCCAGGATCCGCTCCTTCTCAGAGTTGGACAGGAAGTCCAGGTTTACCATGTCAGCAGCCTGAGGCATTGTACCTTCAACCAGAAGCCTTTAGCACAGATTAACAGGCTCAGCCCAGTCACTGTCGCTTTGAGAAGACTGCCTGAAGAGAAAACAAAACATCAGGGATTATATGGAAGTGAAACTAATTCTCTGTTACTGCAAAAGCAAGTTTGATAAAAGGTGAACAGCTTCAATATTTTAAAAAAGCCAACTCGAACTAGAGAGTCTGTTCTTCTATGATCTCACGTAAGGCAGCCTAAACAGAGTTCTGCAGTAAGGAGAGGAACTTGCTGACTTGATGACGAAGATCCAGACGAACGAGCGAAGACAGTTGTTTGGCGTTAATCGAATGACTGGCAAACAACAGAATGACCTTTCTCTCTTCCTGTTGGCATCCATGCAGTGAAGCTTCTGCTGTCAGAGTCCCACAGTCCTACTGTATAAATTTGCTCAGCGGGAGGTGCTTCATTAATGAGAAGGCAGACAAAAACATGCTGCCTCATTAGATTATGCAAGTATTGCTGCAGACAATGCACAGCAACTTTGTGATGCACAGCCTTGGATTATGTGTCACAGGCTTCTTATTGGTTTTAAAAAACCAAAGATAATTTTGTACGTCAGTCAAAAGTGATCACCCATGGGAATACAAAAAAAAACAAAACAAAAACAAGACTAACTATCAGACATGTTTCCATTTCATGAGAGGACAGGAACTTTGGAGCAAGCTTCAGGCAGAATCTAGCTTTCCAAAAATGATAAATGACCAAAAGGAACTATAAGTCAGAGGACTAAGAGTCCCACAGAAAGCCTCTGCCTGGGTGAAAGGTTGTCTTGACTGAAACGAGTAAAAACAACATGAACTTGGCTTACATAAAGGGTTCCCACCCTCTAAGGCTACAGAGAGCCGGGTGGAGTTCAGTAGCCATTTGTTTAGGCCCTACATCAAACTTGTCATCTCTCACGCTTCCTGGAAACTTTATACTCCGATTTTTACGTGAATAGCCTCAAAGAAAACTTAAGCAGGGGAAATGTGCATGTTGAGCAGCTAATCAGTGGGCAAGCTGCAATTCTAAACTGCATGCAAACACATGAGACATTAACCCCCCCTCACTGTTTAAACGCCTGGGGCCAACTAACTCCAGCAGGAGTTTAATAATACCTGCCAGGTGAGCTTCCCTGGAATGGCCAGTGCCTCTGTACCTCGATGGAGTGATAGTGCACGAACTGGAATGCTCGTTTAAAAACACTAAAAAGAAGAAGTTGAAGATGGAATAAATAAATAAATTAAAAACCACCAAGTAGAGAAAGGGGTAGCACTGTGCAGGCATGGACTTCTGTAAACTGTAAATCCTCTGGGGTCCAGTTCATCTTGGTTCATCTTTGGTTTCCTGTTTATTCATTTTTGTCTCTTTTAAACTGGCCTTACTCCACACCCTTCGTATCCTTTTGTTATCACAGATTTAGTTGCAAGTCTGACTTCTTTAAAAAAAAAAAGAAGTCTTAATTCCTACTGTACCAACTATGAACCCAAAATACTAAACAAATTCACAGGGGCTTGCAATTGTTAAGTGATTACTGATGTAAAAAAAAAAGAAACCAAATAATCCATTTACATGTATTGATTCCGTTATTGCCATTCAAAGTCTATGTATGCTGCAAAATAAATAATGAACAGCTTTAAATATTACTTTAAATGGCTAAATGACATTAGCACGTTTAACAGTTTCCCTCCCCCCCTTCAGCTCGTCTCCACAAGATGTGGAAATAAAGACACATTACTATTAACATAATAAATCCATAAACACAGATGACATGTCGTACTATATGCCAGAGGACAGTTATCACCAGTGTGCGATGCTAACATTCAGATTTAAAAAGCTCCGTGTTGAGCTGCTAACGACCGCAGCTCCAACGGTCCGACGTAGGTGGAAATTAAATTAATGCTCACGTTACTCTATGTTCACTTCATGGTGTCTGCTTGTATCCGACTGTACAGGCTGAAGAGTTGGGAACTGGGTTCACTGATTTTACCACGTAGTCGGATAACTCCAAATGAAATACTTAAGAGAAAATAACGCACACCTGTTGTTGGGAGTCGACTGCGCCCCGCTACGCGGTTTACTTCCCTACGGGCGACAACAGCCAAGTAGCTATTCCTGTCAAAAAAAAAACACAAGGAAACCGGTGAAACGCTGCAGACAAGCTAACAGCGATATGACATTAACTGATTATACTACTAGTTTACCTATGAACAGGTTTAGTAAGCCTGCTTATCGGCTGCCACAGTCGCCGTTCCTGTCTGTCCTACTACTCCTTCTTCTTCTTCTTGTCTCCAAAACTGTTGACTTTGTGCGCAAGTTGACTCCCGAGTACCGGAAGATAAGGAAAGTTTGCAGTAGACAGGCAGGAGCGCCTCTCCACATTTTCCATTACAGGTGCGTTTGCTTTGCTCTATTAACCACGGAAGGGCTGGATGTGGATCATTCGACCCACTTGGTTTAACTAGTACAGTAATTAACGCGCTTCCTTCTCCACCCACTCAGCTTGGGAAGCGGTGTGAGAACAACCTCGACAACAACACGGGGTATGCAGTGCTTTCACCTTTTTCTTAATTCTAAATGAAACCAAATTTGACTGTCAGAGAGTAAATGTGAGAAATATAACACATAAACGAATACAAAACACCTTTTTAGGATACTAAAGGGTACCACGATGTTCAGAGACGGAACATACATTTACTTAAGTACAGTGGTGGAAGAAGTACAGAGATCCTTTACTGGAGTACCACGGTGTATAAATACTCTTAAAGGTCCTGCATTCAAATTGTTACTTAAATAAAAATACAAAAGTATTAACATCAATATATACTTAAAGTACTAAACGTAAACCTAGTCATTATGCAAGCTTTCACATTTCACATGAATGTATATCATATTATTGGATAATAATTGTGTTTATCACATTTAATGTTGCAGGTGGTAACGGAGGAGCTAATTTAATTTGAAGTACCTCATATACTGTTGGCTAGCTTGTAAATTTCCCACCAGGGAATAATAAAGTCTTGCTGTATGATTATATTGTATCTGAAACTGTAATCTGAAGTTATCAAATAAATGTTGTGCAGTAAAAAGTACAATGAAATATAGTGAGGTCTAAGTTTCAAGTAGGACAAAATGTTAATACTCAAGTATAAATAACTGAAAAATGTACTTAACTAATAGATTTCTGGTATTTAAAACCCTGGTATGAAACAGCTTCTTCCCAGAAATACTTTTCTTTTTCATTATAATTGTGCCAATTTAAATATTGTAATAAGGTTAAATGACTGAAACACGATCGGCTGATTCTGATTGATATACCTAACCATCCTCCTAAGGTGTGGCCAAAGGTTTCAGCCAGGTACCTCCATATATTTACAGATTCAAGTCTCAAACTTGACAGAAGTGGGCCTGGGTATTTCTGTTGATTTTATATTACATCATATTTGTTTAATACTATACTTACTCTTAGAGGAAACTAATCTGTGCCTTCACAATATGAAAATCAAACCATGTCTGCTAAGTATTGATAGACAGATAGATGGAGGACTTTATTAATCCCAGAAGGAAATTCAGGCCATATGGCTCTTTTGGCAATTAGTGCAAAGATCCATCTTGTGCTTTTACCTCCATAGCAGATTCAGATAGGTGACAAAAGGTTAAAAAAAACAACATTGAACATCTTAGTCATGCTTGTCCATCACAAGCTGTTAGAACAGCTTTAGTGCTCCTTGGCAGAGATTACTACTGGAAGAATGAACACTGTTCATCTGGAAGATTTTCCCTTATTTTGGTCCAAACTCTCCCATATCTGTTCAACTGGGTTCAGACCTGAAGACTCAGAGGAAAATCGAGTTAGTATGCTGTAACAACAATGAGGTGCCTTTGAGCAAGGCACCTAACCCCCTAGTGCTCACGTAGAGTTGTCCAGTAGGTAAGAGATTAAGCTGTGGATGATGTATGACTGGGAAGTTTCCATACGTGATTAAAACTGCTTAAGTGTGATTCCAGGTGTTGGTAAGGAAAAGCCTTTGCACTTAATGAATCTTCCCTTGGTAAATAAAGGTTTATAAAAACACTGCAGCAATTAAAATAAGTGACGATCATAGAATCCTGCTGGTGTAGTGATTGGTTGCACTGAAAAACCTATGGATCATAGGTTTAACCTTTTTTTCTGTTCAGCACATGGTGCTGGTTTGGTGTCACAGGGTTCATTCCTCTTTAATTCAGGACGGTCTACACTCCAAGTCCAGCACAACATGGTGAACATGAGGTGCATATGACTTAACATGCTCTATGTGCCGGATGTTTGTTTTCCACTGCACACCACTGACGTTCCTTAAAAGAGATGTAATGCGGATGGCAGTGTTGTCAGCCCAGGTGAGCCACGCCTCTCTGTCAGCCTTCTTCCCAGAGACTCTGTGAGCAGCATCACCGCTGGTGGGAAAGGCTGCTGTGTTAGGTAATGGTGAAGTAACATTCTGGTGAATGTGTAAAATGCCACCAGTTGTCTTCTTCAGTAGCCGACAGGCAACAGGCCAGCCGTCCTCAGAGCTCGGGATGAGACCAAGGTTCACCCGGTCAGCAATGTCACATAGACTGAGCTGGGGGGAAAAAGAAAAGCCGCAAGTGTCAATGGTTTCACCTGTGAAATGTTTGCTGTTATAAAAAGGAGATTCAAGGAAGGACAATAAAAACAGACGAACATTAATACGTTTTGCTTTACTGCTGTGATACCAGAAATAGGCTTGCAGTTATACTGAAATTTAAGAGAAAAACCAAAACCAAAAGAACCAGACTGCACTTGGAATAAACTCAGAATAGGTTTGTGTTGTCCAATGTTATGCTGCACAAAACTGAGCATTTAAAAGACAACTTGTTACAGTTAAGTTTTGAAATCAAATAAGTCTCTATCACACTCATAGTTACAATGACCACCGAAATTTTCACTTATTTGGCTGATTTAGTTCAAGTTTTAGGACAATTAAAGGGTTGAAATTAACTCCTGGAGTATGTGAGGATTGGGTGATATGACTGAAACCAGTGTTATGATGGCCACAAAAATAGTGTCTATACAAATATGGTGGCTTATATCATAAAAATAAAAATGTATCTTGATCCCCACTGATTTGCATGCTAGAACGTGTGAGGTCAAACATGTGGCTGTAGCTCTTTTATGAAGGTAGAATGAAATGTAAACCTTTACAGTGATTTTTGATAGTGTCACGGTTCATTATCCTACATCACAAAACAGCTGGTGATTCCACTCTATAAGCTTCTTTTAACAGATCAGTTGAGGTGGGAATCTTTGGCATCAAAACATCCACTAGAGAGTATAAGTCAACACCTTCATCTGTGTAGTGCAGTGGTTCTCAAAGTGTGGGGCGCGCCCCACTAGTGGGGAATAAAGACATGACAGATGGGGCGCTATGAACGGAGAAAATTAGAAATGGGTCATTAATACAAGTAAATTAAAATAACATAAGTTCTGGGCCCAGGAGAAAAAAGTGAAACTATAGTGCAACAATAACAGTTTAACGTCGGCATGTTAACTGCCGTGCAACAATATAAGGAAACGTTTACCGAGAGGGCCAATAGTGTACGTAGTGGGCATAATAATGTAAATGGATAAATTTGTTACATGGACCACAAAAAAAAGTAGGCGATTCAGCGCAAGCAGACAAAGAAACGACAGGCAGTAAGTCTTATCAACCAAAAAGCCAGCTGAAAAGAAAATATGATTAAGCCTATCTTGCGCTTGGATTCACAGTGGGAATGGTGGGGGCAGAGGAGGGACCCATGTGTGTCTTCTGTCTTAAACAGCATGAGACCCAACAAATTAAGAAGACATTTAGAGACAACACACCCCAGTCATGTTAATAAGCCGCTCGACTGGCAGAAAACTGTCAGCAGAAAAATCGCATGGTAAAATCCACATCAGTGGACAGCAAACCACAAATGGCTTCCTTCAAAGTTGCCTACAGAATTGCACAGTGCAAAAAATCCCAGTCAATTGCTGAGCAGCTCATTTTCCCTGTAACTGTAGACATGGTGTTGATTATGCTGGATGAGACAAGTGCTACAAAATTGAAAACTATCCCCCTGTCAAACGATACAGTTGCACTTATATTTTATCTGTTTTGAACATGGTGTTATTTGATATTTCAATACATTTGAAATTTAAAAATTGGCCGATTTCATTATTTTTTTTGACAAGTGGGGCTTGAAAATTCACCCACCCTCTTAAGTGGGGAATGACAAAAAATGTTTGAGAACCACTGGTGTAGTGAAACAATCATTTAGTGGAAGACAGAGCAAATTGTTGTGTGTAATAAGCAGTCATGAGTGCATATACAACACATTACTTGTCGGTTGTCTTCTTGATGAATTGTGCAGCGATCTGACACCCCGTTTGCCTCAAGGTTTCTCTGTAAAGCTTCAACAGCATCAGGGTTCCACTCGCAGGCATGAACATGACTGGCCCCCGTGTGGACCAGATATGGGAGAGTAAAGTATCCAATACCTGACAGAAGACACAATTGTGGCAATTACACAACAATTTGTTATATCTGAAAGTAATTTTACATGATTTAATCACAGCGAAAGCAACACAATTGATTTTAAAGTGCTTCTGCTAGTTTATCAATCACTCAATGATACTGTGTGGGGCCAAAATACATTTCTGAACTCCTTGAAGAATACAAACCCAGCAGGGATCTGAGATCTTTAGGAGGCAGTCAGTTGGCAGAACCTCGGGTCGGAACCAAACAGGGTGAAACTGCTTTTAGCTATTTTGCTGAACACAGATGGAACCAACTTCCTGATGGCCTTAAATGCCCCAACTCTAGCCACTTTCAAGTCTCCACTTGGTTTGGCAGTTTCTATGCTGTACTTTCTGCACTTTAATGGCTAGATTTCCATTTCATACCTTTTATTTTGCCCGTTTTATTTTATGTATTTTGTCTCTTTGTAACAATGTTTTATCTTTACTATGTCTTAACTGAGTTTATTCTAATTTAATGCTTATTGTTTGTGATACTGTTACTGTTTTTCCTTGCTTCTGTAAAGCACCTTGAATTGCTTCTGTGTATGAAATGTGCTATATAAATAAAGTTGCCTTGCCATTGTGTTCTATTGTAAAATATAGAACAGGTGTTTCATTGCCCTCCCCTTTGTTATACAGAAGTCATATGTAGTATATTTATAAAAAAAAAAAAAGCTGTCTCACACAAAGGTTTCCCACCTGCATATAAATCCACCACAGTCTCCCCTTTGCAGTCAAATCCAGCCACCCGGAGCTTCTCTGTTATGTTTCCAGCTGAGAACATGCATTTGGTAACATTAAACTCATACCTGAAACAACGGTGAAGAAAGCATGTTAAGTTTCATATGTTTTAGTTATTTATTAATCATGTGTCCAAGACCAGAAAGCCAACCAGCAGCACAAAAAAGCGACTTATTACTGAGACTTACGTAATACCATTGTCCACATGTCTGACCCAACTGTGTTCACCTAACAGCATTGTCACTATAGGGGATCTAAATCCATCTCTGGATATTCGACTCATCTTTGCCAGGCGCTTCGCTCCCAGTCCTTTAGCCACTGCACTCCATAGTTGTTGATCTAAAAAAGTAAAACGCAATCAATAACTGCCCTAATGAATTATTTCATACACTTGGTACTAAAGACAAGTATGGTAGTGTTTGCGAACAGTACCCATTTTCTTCCACAGTGGTTGGGAGAAACATTTGACTCCCAGTAGGACTAGGTCTTCATGCCTCTGGAAGCTGTGAGGGAGGTCCCCTCTCAACTCCTCTGTCCATCTTTCACCATGAGACTCCAACAGCTCCTGGAGGATTTTCTCAAGTTTATTAACTGTCGTCCCTCCTCTTTCCTTCTTTGATTGTACAGGAGACTGTGATGGAAACAGAATAAACAACAAAGACTATAGAGGGCTGTCTGTTGTTCATAGTGTTTAAGTGAAACTCAGCTTTAATCACCTGACTCCAAACTATTTCACAAGTTTCATCTGACGCCAACGTGAATCTGAGAGCCTGCAGATCAAGTTGTGACAGAAAGGATGGTAAAATAGGCAGAAGGACAGTCTCGTCTGAGTCTTTCTGTAGACACAAACTCGGATCCAGAGCTCCTTTGAACTGTAAGCACTTCCTGTATGATAAGACATTAAAGGTGATATAAAAATGTACATGCAGCCACAGAAAACATTTTAAACGGCAAAGTTTCTGTGCATACTGTTCTTAGTTCCCATCAAAGGTTCCTATGCTAACTGGTAGCTAACTTAGCTAAAGCGGATATTCCCTCACTAAATGGCTGATTACCTGAACTTCTGTGCATGACACTTTGACACACGAAGGCAAGGCACACCGTCCATTTGCCAACAAACAAATTCACCGTGTTTTTGTTTGACGGTTCAGGAGTGCCAAATTATTCTACAACGACATGAAGGGCAACTCGTAGCCGAGTCCATCAACAGTCAACAAGTCGTGTGTTTCCGGTCGGATTATTATGCAGGACGGACGTTTCAAAACAAAACTTTATTTTGAAGAGAAACGGCTGCGTCTTAAAATAAAACGCAACTACAAAGAAAAAACAGCAATTCCATTAAAATGGGAATGGCTACGCGTTCAGCTATTTTGGTTAGTTACAGTTATTCTAGTTAGTTAGTTAGTTAGTTAGTCTGCTAAGTTTCAAAAAGTCATAAATTATAAAGAGAAGTGGACAAGTTGTGCGCTGATGTCGATAGATGGAGGCAAACGTCCCAAATTCCAGACGGAGAGTTACTGCAGCTACATGGGTGTGAAAAAAGGCAAGGTAACACTGAAGTTAAAATGGGTGAGAGTGAGGGCTCGGTTGTTCCAATGAACAGACAAGAAAAGAAAACATTTTTTAGGGAATATAAATTTTGTCATCAGGGGCGGATCTAAAAGTTTTGGACTCAGAGAGGGGTGGCACATTTGAAATACATCCATCCATCCATTATCTACACAGCTTATTCCTGAATAGGGTCGCCTGTCGCAGCTGATATTGGGGTACACCCTGGACAGGCCGCCAGTCGCACAGGGCTGTCCCGTAGACAAACCACCCACACACAGGCAATTTAGAGACACTAATCAACCTAAGAAACCGGAGTACCAGGAGAAAACATGCGAATTCCACAAAGAAAGGGCGGGATTTGAACCCGGAACTTTCTTGCTGCGAGCCAAGTACATGTTATTACATGTTCATATTCAAAGACAAACCTGTAGGTAAACATGTAACCTGCAGGAAAAACCTCTGTCAGGAGTGGGATTTGAACCCACGCCTCCATCTGGAGACCAGAAACCCCATGATATAGGAAGGAGTCAACCCTTGAGTCTGGCGCCTTAGACCACTCGGCCATCCTGACAGTTTAGAGGAAAGTTCACCAAGGTCAGGCTGGATTTTAGAGACCACACTCGTTAAACTTGTCTGCTGTAGACACTGAAACAGTATTTTGTTAGTTATGCCATCTGCACCGATGTACCTCCCTTCTGAAATTACATTTCTAGCTCTATGAAATAATCAGCCACATTATCAATAACCCCCCACTACCCACACCATACAAGTGTTAGGATTACATCAAAACTATTTTTCTCAAATCACTGTGTTATTTGGGCTCCTTTATGTTTATTTATCGTTAAAGTGGTGCTCCAGTGATTTAGTCCTATACTGGTGCTAGTTGAGGCTCCTTTGAGAAATACTGTATAAAGTTCTAAATCGATTCAGCAGAGGCAGAAATATTTTGACATTTAGGCCCTTGTGTCGGTCAAGCTGCAAAATGCTGGATCTTGCAATTCTCATATTTACCTTTCCCCCCAAACTTTAGAAAACTCAGTCCTAAGCAACAGAAGAAGATCTGTGTTTAAGAACAGTCAAACTGTGGTGGAATCATATGTAAAATATAAACATTTCTGTATGATTCAAGTTGTCTTTGTGCATTCTGCCTGTAAGATACTTTTTAGAGAACATATAGACAGATACAGGTTCCCTACAGTCACAATAATGACAGTAGATATAAAACAGCAGGGATCCTGACTGATGGAGACATACAGTGGCTTTTCTATATCAGGTCTATAATTTCCAGAAAAACTGGGAATGAAGGATGTTATGGTTTGTTTATGGTCCAGCCCTCCCCTGATAAACCGTCTGATAAAGTGCCATCTCTTCGCCTCTGAAGCAACAAGGAGGCTTTAATGGCTGTATGACTGAGGAGAGCCAATACTGAAATTACACTTTTTATGCCAGTACTTAAAAAGATTTAGCATGGGCTGTTACATAGCTTGTATTACACAGCACTGTAATCGTCTTTATTTATCCTTTCACCATGCACATGTATCCACACAGACTTTAAATTAAGCTGTAAGGTCATGTGGACTGAGGTTACTACAGTTACTAAAATTAAAAAAAAGGCTTAGGTTGAGGTTATTGAAACATTCTTTGGTGTGTCATTTTTAAAGATAGACCACTACTACTAACACTGCTGCTTTAGAGTCTATCCAGAGTAGATTGGCCACCCAGGGTTTTGGCTGTGGACATGCAAAGATAATAAAATAAACCAATTAGCATGGGACACAAATAAAAATGATGGTAATTGTAATTTAAAAGATGAATTTCTCTGAGGACCCTGCGCTGTGATCTTCTGCCCTCTGGAGCCTTTAAATGCCACATGGAGCAACACTTGAGGGATTAATACACCTGGTGTCTATTACCAATTAACCCAATGCCCTTCTTTACACTCTCCTCCCCTGGGTAATACTAAAGGCGAGACATGTTTATGTGATGTAAAGTGGACCTATGTCCATTGTTCCCTTTTTGTTTTACCTGTCCTGCCCCTTTAAGATTAGACATTTCTATCTAGGCGTGTTTCCTGCTGCCATTGACTAAAACCGAGAGCTGCCATCCTGCGGGAAAAGAGCCCATTAACAGCTTTACACGCTGGCGTCCATGCAGGCTGCGATGATTGTTTTTTTAAGTATTTTTGTCCACGAAGGTTAAATGACTGTCCAGCAGCATGGTCACGGTCTGATTTCTGTGGACACGGAGCAGCTCGCCTGTAACGTCACCATCATTTATGATTTATCGAGATGATATGAATGTCAGCCGGTCAATGTCCGCGCCCCTAATGCCACTGCCTCAGCCAGATTTTCTAGCTGCTACTTGGGAGACATCTGCCGCGAGCACCTGGATTCATTTCTAGTCATTTCCAACACTAAGTGGACGGTGAGAGATCCGAGATTGTCTGAGCAGCGTGAAAGCGTCAATGTGGGAATGACACGCTGCGGTACAGACGGGAAGCTGCAAATAACATGGATTAGAAAACACTGATGCGACTGCGACACTTTAAACGAAAGGACCATGCTTCACATTCGTCGCCCTGTGCTGAAATCTTTAATACTGCTGAGTAAGTCTTGTGTTTGTTTGCTTTTTTGCCAGTGCACTGTGTGTAACATTAACGCAACAGTAATTGTAAGCACATAGACGAGCAAGATCCCCTCCAGCCACATCGGCTTATTGTCTGAATTTCACAGTATAACACCTGACGTTAACCCAGAGAAGGACTGAGCTGAAAAGAGGACACCATGTCGGCGGTGATGATAACGCGAAAGGTGCGAAAATGGGAGAAGCTCCCGGGTAAAAACACCTTCTGCTGCGACGGACGAGTGATGATGGCCCGGCAGAAAGGAGTCTTCTACCTGACCCTGTTCCTCATCGTCGGGACCTGCGCCCTCTTCTTCGCCTTTGAGTGAGTCATGTCCTCATTCTGACTCCTAACCAGTGAACCATGGACTAAACCGTTTATGATTTCCTCCAAAGTATTCAGAAGTCACTCTGGTTCACGCCATGTTACTCTTATCCATTAGTTCATTTACACAAAATTCACTGAAAGATGTTGTAAGAATAGTCTTGAGCCAGTTTTTGAGAAAGTCAGTGTTCTTTGGTTTCAGAATGTTTTATAAGACAATGGCACACACTCAAAAAAAAAGACTCATAGATTGAGCAACATCATGTCAGTTTGTCTTTTTGTGCATCTGTTTTAGCCTTTTTGTTCACTTTTATTCAATTTGCATCTCTGCAGTCATTTTACACAAAGTTTCACTAGTTTTGGCTTTATTTTACGTTTTTCATACACATTTGTAGTTTTACATTTCCATCATTTGACATGTTTTTGTAGTCCTTTTGCTGCCATTGGGGTCTTCTCCGTCAGTTTTTAGTAATTTAGTGTCTCTTTTTAATGGTTTTTGTATTTTTTGTAGTAGAATAATTTTGAAGTTGTTCGCCTTTCTGTTGAAAAGTCAAACAGTCCATTCCCACAGTTCCCAGTTCTTCCTGGGCCCAGGTCCAGTAGGCTCGTTCAGTAATGCATGCATGGGTTCCGTCTGCCTTGGTGTGTATATTTTCCTGTTTCTATAGCTTCCAATAAATAAACCAAATGGACTGTTTGGACAAAACAGAATACTTGAAGGCATCAGCCTGGGCCCTGCGAGCTTGTGATGGACGCTTCACCATGTTTTTATACTCGTAGACCAAATGATAATCGTTTGAAAGTACTGCAGGGCTGCAACAGTTCTTTTCATTATTGATTGATCTGCCAATTGTTCTTTCAGTTAGTCTAATCATTTTGTCAGTGAAATGTCAGGACGTAGTGAAAAATACCCAATAGACAGTCATTTTCCTTAGCCCAAGCTGATGTATTGTATCTCACCCCAAAATGTTCAGTTTACTGTAATATATGACAAAGAAAAAGCATCAAAACTTTATATTTGAGAACCTTGAGCCAGCAAATATTTGGTATTTTTGCATTAAAAAGGACTTGGATGATTGATTGAAATAGTTGTTCCAGCTCCAGTTTATTGATGGACCACACTGAGGTGGTTAATGTCTAATAGCCTTAGCTGTCCAGGCTTGTCTCCGGTTTAGGAAGAGAGAGTCACTATTTTTGTTGCCTCAGCAGTTCTGTCTCAGTCCACTACTGCTGCTACGACCTGGTGGACCTATTAGCCCGGCAGACACTGTCGGTCAGCTGGGATGGAGGGTTCAGCCAGTCATTTAAAGCTCTGTACCGAGGATTGGTTTTGTTCTGAACAATCATCATGAAGCATCACTGCTTCTCATCTAGACTGCTACCCACTTTTTGTTGTTGTTCCCCATATTTCCTCTCTCTCCTCTCCTTCCTTGTCAGTTTTTAACCGACAAAATTGCAAGCACAGTGATTTAGCACAAATCTTGGACTGTAATGTGGTAACTTCTCTTGAATGTGGGGGTGTATGCCACTACCACGCCAAATGGATTTGGAGCATAGCAAAGGAGAGAAGTAGTTGCTCGTTCTTATTCCAGGCCCTTCCCATCTCTGTCTGCTCTGCACTTTAATGGCCCCCTGCTTCCCTTTGAGCCCGGCAGAAGGAGCTCTTGTCCGGCTCAGAGCACAGAGACCGATGACACTGCTCACACTGAACATCCAGAGCCCAGAGAAGGCATTTTGGTGACTAATGGCCCGAGGGTTATTAGCATGCTGTGTTCATATTACAGCAAAATATAATAATCTTTCTTGGGGGGGAAAAGATATTAAGGTTGGGATTGGGCTGAGACAACATGGGGCAATATTCAAACTCGTACTTACACAGCATGTTGATACGATCTGATTTAAACCCCTGACACACAAAAAGCCTCCTGAAAAAAGGCCCTGAGGTTTAATGCATTTGCAAATTGCCAATTTGCAGCTATGTTAAATAGAAGCATTTAAACATTAATGCCAGTATTTCTTGGTATTGTAGCATTTCCTCAGTTAGTATTAGTGTTGCTGCTAACAGTTAATTTAATAATGAATGAACACATATTTAAGCCAATGTATTGTTTGAGCAACAGTGTAGAGCTCAACGATATGTTTAGAGTCAAAGAAAAGCAGCACATCCTCACATTTGAGAAGAAGCAGGAAATGTTGTGTTTGTAGCCATGAGAGTGGTATAGCAATGTTGGTCAAGCCACCACCTTGGTCTACAAGTGTTGCATGGATTGGCATGAAGTTTGGTACAGACATTCATGTTCCTCTCAGAATTAATTATAATTACTTTGGTTATCCTCTGAGTTTTCAGCTGGTGCCATAGCCAGGTCAAAATGACTGATCAATACTAATTTATGACTGAGTACCTGTAAGACTAATGACATTCCCATCCACCTCGGTTGTTCTTTGTGCTAATTATCCAATATTTGCAAGATGTTGAGCAGGGTAAACATGCACCTGCTCAAGATGTTAATTATAAACTAGTAACTGATTTTTTTTTTTTTTCTCAATCAGTAAATCGACTAATTGTTACAGCTGTAGCTAGTGTGATTGATAATTCAATTCGTAAAAGGTTTGGCATCAATTAAACACTGTACTGCAGTCTACTGTGCACACAAAAGATGCATGACACTGCATCATTATCTAATTTTAAGAAACGAAGCTTGGTGTGTAGGCTCATTTTGTGCATTTTACATGCACTATTCTGTTGTCTTTGTAGTGCGGTGTCCTTGTTTTGCGGAGGATCGAGGTTGTGCTATGAGCTGCACTGATGGAGAACAGAAAGGGCAGTGTCTTGGTGTGCGCTGGCTCATATCCCCCACCCATCGAGCAGACGTCTCACTTTTACGACCAGCCATCAGTACCCCTTGCTGACAAAGCTCTGTGCTTTAATCGGTGCTAAACTGCAGAAATAAATGGATGAATATGCAAATAGACTCATGAGGAACAAGTTAAATATTCACTGAAGAGGAAGGTCCAGCCCCCCCCCCCTTCCCGTTATAGGTGGAAGCAATTTTAGGAGTGTGTGTGTGTCCTTATTCTGTTGGTTTTGTACCCATCTAGTATCCACTTACCATTTTTTTAAATGGCATTTTACACACTGATATTACATTGGGTTACTACAGGCTTTGAAAGGTGCTGTGTAAAAGGCTCTGGTAGTCATCTACCTCCTGTAAATATCCACAGGAGGCTTCCTCACAGTTGCATGTTCACTAGTTTGGTTCTCATTTGTGTCTGTGCATGCACATGCATGCTTACTGTATGTTCACATGGATAGCCACCTATGGTGCTTGGAAGAAGGAACATGAAACTGGAACACAAGGGGCAGTGTGTCATCTGTTTGTCCACCCCAGGACCCTGAGCTACAAGGCCAGGGAAGCGTATGTACATGTAGTGAGACTGATTGTTTCTGGCTGTGTGTTTGCACTCTGTCTACATGCTACAAGGTGCACATAGTTTCAAGCGCCTGTAGTCATCCTGATAATATGTAAATGTGTAACAAAGGAGCAATAAAGTGAAGGGCTGAGCCTGCAGAGCAAGTGGCAGCAGAGGAGATCTTGTAACCAACCTCTGAGCCTCCCTCAGCATCTAACCCCCCTATCCATCTCCCCATTAGCCAACTACAAAAGCGGCTGCCTGCCCAGGCTGAATGAGCAATAACATGATTTATGCTCTATTCGGGGTACATACTCATTTTATAGCAACAGTGGTCTATAGGCTTCGTTCTCTGGAAGCTTCCCTGGCAAGAGGAGAGTTCTGCTTTATTTGGAGGATAAAGTAACTTTTTTTCCTCAGTTTATCACCATGTGTTTAGTCTTAAGTAGATGCTCTTCTAGAGGAAGTGTATAGAGACAGTTTCCTCTAATCATGCTAAAAATCACATTGTCTTTCATGTGGGTCAAATTAAGTCATTGGGTTTATCACTATTATACATAGTTTTCTATTATGAAACATCTCTGATCAATCTCAGAAAAAGGTCCATGACCCTGGTTTAAAAGTTTCATCTCTCATAAATTTTGCATATCAAGGAACACTGATTTAAAACCAGCAACACGTTGTACCCTTCAGAAAAATCTAAATGATGTTTCTGGCTAGCTATTTGTAGACCAGTATTACCAGTGCATTTATATTGTGGCGCTATGCATTCAGTTGTTTGGAAAGAAAAAAAAAATGCATGTTGATTTTTGTAATCCAGATGGTTAGAAGACTGAATTCTGCAGATTCCTTCAGAAAAGCAACGTGGTCAGTTAAACAAACTTCTGGATGTTCATTGGACATTTAGTTTTTGGCTCTGTGACTTGAATGTAATGGTAAAACACTAGAGGCACAAAGTGGAGAAGCATGATCCCATCTGTGGAAAAGGGCAAAAGAAGTATGAAGCCTCTGTCTAATGTGGATATTTATCATGTTGGGTAATGGAGAGAGTTTCTGTCTGTATGTGGAAAAGGAGAGAGGGCAAGTACAGTTTGTAAGCTTTTTATTTATTTATTTATTTATTTTCTCAGCAGTGCCCTAAAGCGGGCAGTCTCCAGATGTTTGTGTGACAGAGGCCTGTTAGTGAGGCTCACTGTAGGTCTTCCTGCACAACAATCACATAGTTTATTTGTAGCATGATTCATGCAGGTCTGCAGCGTCTTACAATTGTTAAATATTAAAGGACTGGCTCGAAATGTTCCACAGAGGTAAAACCTCATGAGTCAGTCGCCAGGCCATGACATGGTGACCTGGTCATCCTGAGTTTTATTGCTGAGAAGTTAGTGATTTAATTTAGTGGTATCCCAACTTTAGAGGCTTCTCATGTCTTGCCGAGTTAAAACTGAATCAGTCTGCTGTAGACACGCCCTAATGGATCTAATACCCACCCACTTGTACACACACAGCAAAGTCGGTGTCACACTTTCAGTGGCTTCTCTTATATTATACTGTATAATTACTTTATGTGATTATTGTTCTTATGCAACATGTATTTCAAGCTGGGGGCTGGGTTAACACCTGTTTGGCTTTTTGAGATGGAGAGTGTTAAAAGAAGCCAAAGGGCTCACATTTGATTCAGATGTGGTGGTCTTCCTTCTGGATGTGTTGGCATCTAAAGCTAATGTGTTTGTTTTTGGTATCATTATTGACCTGGTATGGTCATGATGTTAATTTGGGAGTGATTTGAGCTTTGTGTCACATCAGCAGTAACCAGAGCATTCTGCTGGTCTGAGCTTTGGACTAGACGCTGTATTTTGTAGTTTGCTGCAATCAGGCATTTATAGTTTGCAGTTACTAGGAAACAGAATGTAATGAGAGGGGCAAAGAGCTGTTATGGAGTCAGTTTGAGTCTCGGTAAACCCTCTAGAGGATTGAAAAGAAATTAGGTAGAGTAGCTTTAATCTGCACCACGTACACAGCAACCAGCGGACCTGACTGGCACCTTCAGCTTCGCCATAAAGAGGCGAGAGTCGTATTGAAAGCAAATGCATATAGTTCCCGTCATTTCTAAACTATTCTTTTACCATGTAAATAGAATTGTAATTTTTGTCTTGTCAGGGTGGAAGTATTCCCGTTTTACAGCAGTTGAATTTACAGTGCAGATTGCATCATATTTTAGCCTTTTAAGATGCAGTTACCAGTAACTGTAGTTGTCAAATAAAATGAATAGACTGAGTACAAATGTTAAGACCCTCAAGGTAAAGCAAGTACTGTACCTCAGTGAAGTGCGTGATTAGATGCATTTAAATACTTGCCACCAGTGTTGCTGGTTGAACAGAGAGGGAGAAAGTTAAGGGAGCGAGGGTGTGCATGTGAGTATCAGTTGGTGGTCTGATTGATCACCTCGCTGATGAAAACATTTTCCTCTCATGGACACGGGGCCCGACTGAGTCCAGTTTTTCTGCTGCCTCTGTAGTGACTGATGAACACACAGCGTCACTGTGACAGCACCGCCCTGCCCCACAACAGCACAGGAAACGGTCACATCCAGGAAGGATGTGGAGGCTTGATGGGAAGAGATGATAGAGTGCGCCTCCAATACCTACCAGTCATCATTACGGGAATTGCGCTTCATCGACAGACTGCTCCCCTCAGTCCAAATCCACTGGCTGCTCTCTGCTGTCTCTGCACTGACAAATGGGGCAAACACGCCTAACAGGCCTGCTCCAGTGGAAATTTCTATTGATTTGATCTCTGCTCCTGCTTTCCATTAGCGTGGGGGGAAAAAAAAAAGGCATTGCAGGGAAACTGCTCAGACTAGTCCAGCAGGTGTGTTGTTGTCTAGCCAGCGCTCAGGTATGCTGATGTTCCTGGTTCATCCACTGTACACAGTGTGACTGAACAGATGGACTTTGCTCTCTGCCATGTTGTGCTGACTGGCGGTTGTTTAGTTCACTATATCCCTTTTATTTTAAACTTCCTGCTGTGCGTGGGAGGACTGATGAAATGCCATTCAGTCAAGACACAAAATTTAGTTTGCTCTGTAGCAGATGGCAAGAAATCCCAAAAGATATACTGTTGAAAGTTCTATAAAACAGAGTAAAGTAGCAAACCTCAGTTTTTAAAAACTGGCAGATATTTAACATTTTTGCATGATTAAGGTTGATAAATGATCATTTCTAAAAGGAAAGTCAGATTTATTTTAATATTGATTAACAACTTGACTTATTTTGACCTTTAATTATGAAATGTCAGTGTATTGACACATCATTTTGTTGTTGGTTCTATAATCCCCCACGCTGGATTTGAAATAAAACAGCTATAACCATAAAGTGCTAAAATCCAAACCACAAGGAATCACATATTAATAGTAATAAAAATGTCATCACACAGTAGTGCTAGAGTAATGGTTTAATCATTTGGTTTGTATAATGGAAGGAGCTGCAGCCCTCAGATGTTTGGGATTTTTGCTTGGGAAAAATTAGTTGATTTATCAAAATAACTGCAGAGGCACTAATTTTAACAAATTACTTCAGATGTTGTATGTAAAACAAATTACTTCAGCAAACAAGAATTTGTATATACAATGTAGTTTGTAAATGTTTACTTCGACATCGGGTTTCAGTTGCCCACTGAACCATTTCCATATGAGTGTGTGTGTGTGTCAGCTGTGTGGGAGCGTTGTGCATGACATGCAATACAAATGTTAGTCTTGTACAAGATGTGGAACAATAGCCTTGTCATCCTGTAGTGCAACATTAGTGTTATGAAAATATGAGCCCAACCACATGGGAGGGAGATGAGGAAGCACAGTTGGTAACTCCACCCAGAAGCCTTTGGTGCTCTGTTCTGTTGCAGCACGTTGCTCTGCAGCTTGCATCTGTTATCGCACTGAGCAGCAGGTCTTTTTTGGAGCAGCCCTGCTGGCTCTCATATCAAGGGCCTGGCAAACAGAAATAGGCTAATGTTTCTCCACTCTCCAGAAGGTGAGGGGAATGTGTCGTGACGTTGTTTATTCACGGCCATGACTTCGGCACAGACCAGAGAAAGGACAGCTTTCACAGTTTGTGACCTAATGCCCAGAGCACCAATTCAGAATATGCACATTGTCGTGTCGTCTTTGCACGTGCTCTTTTTGAGAAGGCTCTTCTCTTTCTGTTCAGGATATTGTCTCTGCACCTTTACACTATAAGGCCAAAAAGAATAAAAACTGGCTTGACAGCTGATCACTAAATGAAGAAAGTGATCCCCTCTTCACCTTCCTAGAATAAACTTAACCCACATTTTTACCTAATCCTTTTTTCTTCTACAGATGTCCGTACTTGGCTGTCCATCTGTCTCCCGCCATCCCTGTTTTCGCTGTCCTGCTCTTCCTCTTCGTCATAGCTATGTTGCTGAGGACCAGCTTCAGTGACCCAGGGGTGCTGCCACGGGCCCTTCCAGAGGAAGCTATGTTCATCGAGATGGAAATTGGTGAGTTACATGAGTGGTTTACAGAAAAAGACAATGCCTTTATTATCATTGGACTTTTAAAGCTATCCATCCATCTATTATCTGTAACGATTATCCTAACGGGGGGCATAGCCAATCCCAGCTGACATTGGGCAAGAGGCGGAGTCCAATCTGGACAGGTCGCCAGTCTATCACAGGGCTGACATGTAGATAAATGACCCACATGCACACTTCTAGAAGCAATTTAGAGTTGCCAGTCAACCTAAGCTGCATGTCTTTGGACTGTGGGAGGAAGTCAGAGAAACACGCAGACAGAGGGTGAGCATGCAAACTCCACACAGAAAGGCCCCGGCTCAGCCCGGGCTCCAATTTGGAACCTTTGCTGTGAGGCAGCAGTACTAACCACTGCACTTTTGTGCCGCCCGACTTTTAAACTATTATTTTCTTAACCATCTGAGCTCTTGACTCTTCACTGTTCCCATTAAAACTTGGCTTCAAATCTATATAATATGAAATATTCATAACTGAATCTGCCCAAAGTAAAAAAAAAATCTTTAGGTATATCTGTCAGTAGTTTTCCCCGTCATCTTTATCAAGCAAAAACAAAATATAAATACTGAGCAATAACTAAAATAAGGAAACCAGGCCAACGTTGTAGCAAAACAAAAGTAAATACAAATGTTAAGAGCAAAGTAAATATAATAAATATCACTTTATGGTTTTTCACTTTTATTGTTTATATTTGATACAAAGTTGAGGCTCAAAACGTTTGTACAAAGTCAACAAGAAAGAAATTACAAGAGGCGTGTTTGAGTATGTGAATGTGATATTTACCCAGTAAAATGACAAAGATCCAACCAATGACCGAGACGTGTTGTTTCTCGGTTTAAGCAAACTGAAAATATGATATTCCTGATATCTGCCCGCTTACATCAGATGGAACATTTCAAAAATGATGAACACTTCATGAAATCCTGTGTTTTAACTGGAATTTGAAGCGTACGGTGGTGAATCAGAAGAAGGCGTGTTGAGCAGCATTTGTAGAGGGTATAAAGACAGATCTGCTAGTATAAAGAGTAAAGCCACCCCCATGTATTCATGCACCTTTCACTGATAAAGCAAGATCCGGTGCAGATTTATCCAGCAGTGAAGTGACATGTGGTCTGGTGTGACAGTTGTGTACCTGTCCTTGAAGTGTGCAATGCTATTGTTCAGTCAGTACTGATAATGCCACTAGGCCCAAACACCTTATCTACACGCATTCAAATGTTAAGTCAACAGGACGGTTTACACGCATTCAAATGTTAAGTCAACAGGATGGTTTATTATTACAGCTTGTGCTGTTTTATCATCATCAAGGTTGTTGTAGTGTATAAATCTCTTAGTCGCTGTATAAAATGACATCCACAGATGTGCACTGCAAGTTGGATGAAAGAAGCTCAAGTGAAAGTATTTCAGAGCCATAAATACGGCAGTGTATAAGGGTAGTGAAGCAGGGAACAGGTTTGTTCCTGACTGTCGCTAAAGGTTGAGCGTGTTCACTGTAACATGAACTCATTACACTGACTGTTTGTCTCATTTTACAAAACAAACTTTCTGCTGTATAATAATGACTTAAAATCCTTTCCAAAGATAAAAGGTCCTTGTTGGCTTCACCAACAGGGCACTTCTGTATTTTTCATGTCCGTTGCCTGGGCTGTCCAGACTCTCTCTCTCTATCTGGAGGGATAAGTCATTCTCTAATGCATCTTTGTGCCCCTCCCTCCCTGTCTGCCAGCGTGGCTGTTCGCTCTTTGTCTCTGTGAAAGATTCACAATGTCCATCAGCCTCCACCCAGTCTCTCTCACTCCACACATCAGCCACGGGTGGAGACCAGTCTTTGTTCGCAACAGGAGGGCTGTAAAAGCAAGGCTGAGGCACTCGGCCCTCAGAACGGTTTAGCTGGTGGCCATCACTTCTCTCATCATGACTGTGACTCATACCGCTTGGTGGTCAAACTCGTTTTGGCTGTGACATGACGTTTATATGATATCACACTGAGAATAATGTATGTCAGAACTAGTGATTATCTCGTTAGCAGTAAAGCCACCATTCAGTCCCACCGCAAGGTGACGTCAGATATACTAGTTTTAACACATTTATATAAAACAAAGAGAAAAAAAAATCCACCAAATGCCATAAAGCGACAACAAAACAAGGCATGTGACGGCAGCTATTCTGGATTTCAGTGTGTTTCAATCTTGGCACTCTTTGGGATGCAGAAATGTAACATGTTAAACTTTCTCACTCTTCAGCAGCTTTTGTTTTTCACACATCCATTTACTGTTTGTATGGCTAAAACACAACAAAGTCGCAAATCCCAAAAGGGAAGCTGCGGAGAATGAGAAAATGTTCGGAGAACAATAAACGACTGACGGTTTTAGAGGTTTTGTTTGGTCCAGCAAGTTACTACACAAATGATATCCACACAGACAGTGTTGGGTTCAAGCAGTATGACACAAAGTCTTTTAATGTATTTATTTGTAGGGGAATTAGTCAAATCTATAGCGTTAACATTTATAAGCTACAGTGCATCTTCAGTTAATGGCACAAGCCATAGTCGGACCCTTTACCAACAAAATTTAAAATGCAGGATCTGAACTTGCTCTCGTTCCCAAATAATAATAATAAAAAAGGCAAATGTATTATTTTTTTTTATACCAGTTAAGCTAGATATACTGGACTGTGTTAATTCATGAGCTTTAGAGGTGCAGGTAAACAGATTTTATTACAGTTGGACATCCAGGCTAGCGGTTTCCCCTTGCTGCCGGGTTTTATACAAAGCTGTAGCACATGACAGAATATGCACTGCAGTAGCCTAAATGAAACACTTATTTTAACAGCTTCCATCCTCTTCAAGTCCCTGTACAGTGTCTTTTTAATGTGTTAGATATCTGCTTGCTGTTATGAGTGTGGGCGTGCTAACACGCGCAGCCAGGTATGGATGTCGGATCTCATTCTGATGCTGAGGCAGGCGTGAGGATGAAGCCACTGCAGCTTTGATGCTCTGTCCCCTCAGCCTATTAGCGACTAGTCTTGGGGGGGGGGGGGCGGCTAATACGAGGAGAGGCATCCTCTTGGACTTGGCTTTCATCATCTGTGAGTGATGACTCATTAATTTATTCTCTGAGTTTATACTGGAACCCACTAAACCTATGTTGTTTAGATTCATAATGCAGAGTGTTTAGTGCTGTCAGATAAATTAAATGTTACAACCTTTATATCTGTAGATATTTATGGAGATGTTCTGTAGGAAAGGCGCTATATAAATAAAGTTTAATTATGGATGGCTCTGACACAAGCTTGTAAAATGCTAATTTCACTATGATTTAATTATGCAAAAACGGTTTAGGTTTAACAGATAACGGTTACTGAGAGCTTTATACTAATGGTAAATATTCAATTTAATTAATGTATGATCTCTAAACCCTTTCTGTGCCCAGATGATTTAATTCATTGAGCCTTTTTTTATCTTAATGTATCCCCAGAAAGTCAAACGAGCATGCTTGCTCTCTTCCATTAACTCCTCGTTCACACCAGCCCAGTGCAGCATGTTAATTGTAGATTTTTTAAATCTATTTATTTATTTATTTATCCTAACGGTTACTCTCCTGAGACAGTCTCCAGCCAGCAACCCTCAGGTCATTAGCCAGCCTCTCTCAGCTCCTGCAGTGCAACATAATCAGACAAATCCGAATTGCTGCGAAAATGTATGAGAATTTCTTTTGGTGGGAGACTGCTCTGCAGAGACGGGACCGTGTCATGTAAAAGGTTTGGACAGTTGGTTGATACCCACACAGTAAATCCCCATTAACCATTGTTCTTACAGTACCACTGATGTTCAGTCAACAGTTTTTCTTGTTCTTGTCACCCGAGTCTCATACCGCATCTCTCACAATCTGATTAACAAATATATAGCAGGTGAACAGAGTACTGAGCCACTGTACAGACTAATATAATACACTGCCATAGCACAGCAAGAAACTGACAATGTGATTTTTCTTTCCACAGAGGCTGCCAATGGGAATGTCCCCACCGGGCAGCGCGCCCCACCTCGAATTCGCAACGTTCAGATCAACAATCAGATCGTCAAGCTTAAGTACTGCTACACCTGCAAGATCTTCCGACCACCTCGGGCATCTCACTGCAGCATCTGTGATAACTGTGTCGGTAAGAAACTGCTTCTCATCTACCATCAGGAATCGTTGTCCAAACAAAGGCTTAGTCCAGTTATTCAGAAATAGAAAAGTGTGTGGAGGGGGGGGGAATATGTGACGATTATTACTGAAGCTTTGATGTCAAATGTATATCTTCACAATTTTGTCACAATAATTAAATGAAGTAATATTCAGAGCTTTATAACTAAGATGTTGGACTAAGCAGATGTGGTGCAGAAGATCTAGAAAATGAACGGACCAAAAAAAAACTTCATAGGGAGTGTTTGTGAATTTTAAAATCTGTGATTTATGTGTATGCAGCCATGTCTGTCAGCCCTGCAGAATAATGGCGGCTGATGATTGATTGAGGAATGTGGCTGAGGGCAGCGTGGACTCCTAGGCCATATGAGAGGAGACAGTGGTGGCTCAGTGAGGGAAGAGGTGCTCAGTCACTATGAACACTGGTTCATCTGTGACCACCTGCCTCAGAAACACACACACAGTCCAAACATGACACACAGCAGGCCTCAGTCCCTCTTTAACTGGATTCTTAGCTTTTCATTCTCAACTTAACTTGTGAAAGTCTCTCGCAGAATATGCAGCCAGACCATGTCACATATTGCACTTGGGGACTTTTGTGGTCAATATACTATGAGATGTTGGATGTACAGTGAAGTTGGTGAGTATTTGGACAGATTAGCTCTAATTTGACGTCATTAACAGCACAGGGGACGCTCTACTGTGCTGGGAGGACAACACGACGACGCTACAGCCATGCTAGCGGCTGTGTGAGGCTGTGCCAACAGTCGCTGATTAGCAGCCGGCAAGAAAGTACGATTGAGGCTGATGGGAATCTCATTACTGTAGCAGGTTTTTGGTCACAAGCAAAATACTTTACAAAAACAACTTTTGATCTAATGGTTGCGCTAGAAGCAAATTTAATACTGAGGGAGTCAACTTAATCCGTTAGTTCAGCCATTTCTCTCAGAACCATAAAGATAAAATGATCTGTTTGTTTTGATCTTATACCTACAAGCTGCTTCGTGTCTCATGTTTATGCTTGTTTGCTGTGGTGAAACTCCATCCGGTGGAGTGTCTGCTGCAGAGAAATGTGTGAAGCATGATGTTTACCTTTTTTGACTCTGCCCTGTTTTCATTTGGCTCTCCTCCAAATGATAGAAGAGGAAGTCGTCGTTATATTTAGACTGTGTGTGTTTACAGAGGCTGATGCACAAAACAGCTTTGACTTCAGCTGATACTGGTTTATTTTTAAAATTAGTTTGATTCCTAAAAACATCTGTTTTGTAAAGAAGTTGGTGTGTGTGGACTCTTGACCGGTGACATTTCCTCTTTTTCAGACCGTTTTGATCACCACTGTCCATGGGTGGGCAACTGTGTGGGCAAGAGGAACTACCGATACTTCTACCTGTTCACCCTGTCCCTCTCCATGCTCACCATTTATATCTTCACTTTTGACATCGTCCACATGGTCATGCGTGAGTTTCTACTTTTTTTAATCAGAAGGGACACGCAGGCGTATTATGCATGTACGTAAGGCTGCAAAATGTAGAAAAACAGGAAGGACAACCTTTCACATGCAGTAGCTCACAAGCATTTTCCTGTGTATTTGCAAATACATGCACATGTGCTGAAACTATGACCTAACTCAGACCACAGTTTGTCTGAAGTGTGACCTGACATGTAACAGCACCTGACAGCCTGACATGATTCCTCTTTTATTCTCATCCTCCTGCTTCCTTGTTCTGTTTCCTCTTTGTTGGGTAGGAGTGTTTCTAGTCATAATTAGCTCCGGGCTTGTTATCTTAATACTTTGTATTGTGTTTTCAGTGGAGTTGAGCACACTGAAGGAAACACCTGGAACATATCCTTTTAATCTGGGATCATAACATATCTGATAAACAGCTGCTTCTATAGAAGAGAAAAGAAAAACATTAACACATCTCATCTATAGCGTGCATGTCAGGCCTGGGACATAGTGTAGCTACAGTAAGTAGTAGTGTTACTGTTCACCACCAGCACATGGACTCTGTGGAAGCCAGTCTGAATGCTGTCAGAGTTTAGACCACCACTGGCAGCTCTGTCCTGTTCTTTATTGAATTTGGGGAATAGCAACACCAGCCAGGGTTAACCTGGGATGGTGTTACATATGCCTGAAACAAAGGTTTGTCTTCTTTCTAATATTCTTTAAGTAAAAACATGCACGTGTCAGTTATGGCCTGGAATAATAAAAAAGGGTAAATCCCTCCTGTCCTGTACTCTTCTTTAGACCAGTTCTTCCACTGACCATCACTGAATTTATCATGTTGTGTAACTATCTGCCATTTTGCTATCACCTGCTGTCCACTGTTTAATCATCGGCCGTGCATCAGACACAAAACATCTGTTGCTGTGTTCTTAACTCGAGTTCACTGTGCTGGAGGTGTTGGTGTGCTTCTTCACCCTGTGGTCCGTGGTGGGACTGACCGGCTTCCACACTTACCTGATCTCTCTCAACCAGACCACCAATGAGGACGTAAGTGCATCTTAATGCATGTTCCTTTAAACATGGCTGTGAGGCACAGTGCTGCACTTTGCATCTGGTTTGTTTTAGGTTTCACAAGGTCTTTATGCAACTGAACCTTGACTCATGAACACATGGACTAACAGCATTAACTAATTCTTTGGTTTTATTTGTGGCATTATTATCATAGTACTTTATTCCAAAATGATGATCTGTTGTACTGCCCACATATAAAACTTGATTATGAGTATTAAGGCTTCAAGTGGACTTAATGGTCCATGTTGAGTTCTCAGCACAAATAAAATGTACCTCCATATTCTGCACTTGTCATTTACATGAACATAATGAGGCACATAATGGTGACGAGGTACAGTTTTCAGAAGACGTCTATTAATATTGGATCAGGCTGCTTGGCTTCATGTGGCTGGAAAGATAAACACACGTTGCCGGGGTTTAAACACTACAATTTCTAAGACCACAGAGCAGTTTCCTTGACAACGGTGGCGCCTCGTTCAGGGACAAGGACAGAGCGCTAGTAAACTGTAGCTTATTAAACCAAGCTATATTATTTGTTATTATATTGTACACTAAAGCAAAGACAAATTGTTGTGAACTCGATAAAGGAAACAGACTGGAATAAACCGAGGTCTTAACTGAAGCTACAAGCTTTATTTATAGCTGCAGCGAGAACAAAGGCAGACTGCAGGTCACATTTAGACTTATTTCTAGTCGGACCACATGGACAGTTTGACTAATGTTTTTGCCTATACTTTAAAAAAAAAATGAATCCACTCTATTTTTATCCAGTTCAGCCACAAAGAGAGCAGAAGCGTCTTTACAAGGGAGACGTGGCCAATCCAGCAGGAGCAGTTTTATTCTGCTCAGTCTGAGCCATATGACAAATTGGCTGGTAAATATGTTGATTGCTAAAAGCAGCAGTTGGACTCTTCTGTGCTCACTAGCAGCCCAAGATAATTTGATCACCTACGAATATTAGGAATCGTAGCTATTCTTAATTAAAACTGATGACAGAATTGAGCTGAAACAAGAACAGTGCAGCTGGTTCCTAGTCCTCAATGTGTCTGCTACACGTAGAAGCAGCTTCTGATGCTAAATGAGGGAAAAAAGTATCGATTGCTTGGGTGCATTAGCGGTGAGTCATTATTTATCGTGGACACACCTTCACGCTGATGTAGAGCAGAGGATGGGTGGTGGTGATGCAGGTGGATGAATCCACAGAGGGAGTAATTTAAGTTGTCTGTGTATACTAATGTCAACAGTGTGTGTACTTTATCGGAGGCTTTGTTAACCCAGATCTGACTGACGAGAGACGGCAGCAGTGTTGGAGATGGTGGGAGGTTCTAGATGGCTGGAAGCAAGGGAGCGTACTCGTACTTTGTTTGTAATGATTAATTTATAAGTCTCCTTTTTTCTTTCCTGTGGGATGCATGGCCTCGTTTTTTCAGTAATCGGTAATGAAACTGTGCACCTACAGTGTAATATTGTTCCGGGGGTTGAAACAATGGCTGTCAGCACAGCCGTTTCAATATCTATGATGGCTCTAATAATAGATGCATCGATACCTGCAGGGGCTTGGCCTGCTGCCAGAACTACTGCTGTGTTAGAGAGGAGGGGGGGGTGAGACCTGGTGAGAGAGAGAGGGGGGGGTGTTACAGGGAAGGGAGGGGAAAAACAAGAGAAGTCACCCTGCATGTTGTAGCTGCTCTGGTCCCCCTGGATGACACATGGTCTGTCAGCTGTCTCCACAACACACAATGAGTAGCTATGCAGCACCGAGGCACCTTATGAGCAAACTGTTGACCTACATTTGTAGCACTTGTAATAAAGCAGTTTTCTCTAACTTGCAGGGGAGTTGGTCAGTACAAAATCATGCTGTGAAAATAGGTCGGATACTGTATGTACTTTTAACAGTTCTCTTCTTGTGCATCATTTTTCAGTTAAATATTATTGAACCCGTGTTTTTAGCTGGTTACCCTTAAAACAGCAATTAAAAATTATGATGAATAACTGGTAGATTTATTTTCTGTGTGTGTGTGTGTGTGTGTGTGTGTGTGTGTGTGTGTGTGTATATATACACACGTGCGTGCTTCTTTGTATGATTTCTTCACTGAGCTACTGAAGTGGATTTGCTCTGTAGTTGAGCTGCTTGTTGACATCCAGCAGCACATCTGAGTTCCCATTAAACTAGAAATCATTAAATCCCTGACGAGATCCTTTTAGTAGGTCAAACCCAAGCCTTTGGGAATAACATCTAAAAATGGAGCTATGCTTTTGAATACAATATAAGCACAGGGAAAATCTTTCTGAAAAGAGAACGGAGTGAGGTTGTAAGTTAGGATGTGTTTAGGGTGCTGGTTTGGTGATGCATGTTGTGTACTGTACATTTTGTCCTGCTCAGATTAAAGGATCCTGGTCAGGAAAGAACAGAGTCCAGAACCCATACAGCCACAAGAACATCATCAAAAATTGCTGTGAGGTGCTCTGTGGGCCGACATACCCGAGGTAACGTTGTCAGATCAAGAAATCTTGAAGTAAACAGCTTTGCTCATAGCAGGAAGAAGAGACATGCTGCATAGTTTCCCTCAGGGCTGGTCGATTGATTTTTGTATTGAATGCCTGTTTTGAACCTGAATCATACATCTTCCTTGGTTTATTTATCTTAAGTTATATCTTTTGCTTTCTTTCAGATGCTCCTTTAATCAGTTTTGTATCAGTGCCTGATGGATTAGATCTAAATCTTTGTCTCATTCTGGTAAAATCACGAGCAACATGCAGTTAGTGACTGTTTGCCTTGTCTCACTTTGCAGCGTCTTGGACAGAAGAGGACTGATGCAGGAGGATTCGACTGTTTCTGCAGCATCTGCTGCACCCTCCTCCTCCTCCAGCATCAGCAACGCCGTGCCACAAACCACGGTGAGCGCACACACATGCAGTACACTCCCCTTTCACACACTTCTGGGTCTGGCTTGAAAGTGGACAGAGGCTGCAAAGTACAGGATAGTGAAAGGAGGAATTAAACAAATTACAGAGAGAAGAAAGCAGGTGTGTTTGAGATGAAGTGTGCTCTAAGTGGAAAACACTTTTCTTTTCAGTGTCATTGATTGTGGCTCTTTACATGGCCGCCATGATGTATGTGTCCATTTAATAAAGGAAAATCCCACTGAGGTCAAGAACCTCTTACAAGAGAATCCTGGCAAGATAGCAACATAACAAGTTGGACAATATAAAAAAAATCTGCACACATAAAATACAAAAATCATAGAGCGGTATAAGTCCAAATTAAAAATATAATCTAAAAAATTAGAAGGAAGAAAAAGATTCTGCACAAGTGCGCTTGTTTTCGAGTGATACCAATTTGTTTCTTGTCTTTGAGATCTGACACTGTAGTTGGAAGATGAGCAGCGTGAAATTAATTCAGACACACAGAGGCAGTCTCTTCAAAACGGCTTTATAAATAAAAATGTACCAATGACTCAGTGTGTGTAGAGAGGGAGAGAGAGAGAGAGAGACCCCACCCACTTTGACTACTGGGTACTGAGTATTTATGATTGAATCTATCCCTGTTCATTGCTGGGTTGTTTGATATCTTAATACTTGTCCTAATAGTACAGTAAATATACAAACTTGATCCCTCCTTCCTCGCTGTGGCACAGATCAGCTGACAGAATCATGCTGGCTTTTAAATAATTCAGTCGTATACAGGACTTTTGTTTTTGTGCGTCTTGCAGAGCCTGACTTGATTTGGTTAATTTAGTCACTGTTTCTTCAACCTGGGCTGGAACGTGAAACACTTGAGTTGATGCTTTTCATCACTACTTGTCTTAAACTGGTCTGATAAGCTCTCTGAATTCCTTTTTGTGTTTCACACAACATCACAGATTTAGGGAGTGGCCAGTAATAATACACTAGTTATTTGTTTGTGAAAAGATTCAGCTGGAGTTCAGTGTACTGTCAGTGGTTATTGCTGCATCTGCACCTTTTCAGAATGTTGTCCTGCGCCTACAGAAAACCACAGCTCCTCTCATCCCCAATGAGCACACACCTGATGATGCCAAGCCGAGCATTGCTGCCTCAGCAGAGAAGAGCCCCTCCCCCAGAGAGGAGCACCCACCTGCTCCCAAGGTTCCTCCCTTGGCTTCACCCGAAACTGATGTAGAGGATAAGACCCATTAGCTGCATAAAGAGGAGGCCGTCATCATAGCCCCAGCATCCTGCCTGGTCAGGGACTGAAACATTAATATTAAATGTCTAATTCCTGTGCTGGTGACTCGGTTATTCTCAGACTCCGACATTCAACCAGTTTCTGCTGCAGCTCCTCTGTGTTCCCCTCCTCACCGGTGGCTGCAGAGCTGTTTGCCTGACTCTGACTCCTATACGAGCGGGAAGAGTTTCACAGAAAGTCAGCAGCTTCCTCTGAGTCCTGAACACTGCATGGAAAAGACACGCAGGGGGAGAAGCTGCTGCACGAACATCAGAGGAAAAAAAACAAAAAAAACAAAACTTTGTGTATACCTTCCCCACAGTTCACCTGCAGGTTGCTGTGATTGTCAGTACTACTACTTTTCTTTAAAATTGCATAATGACATTTATTGTGAGAAGCCAATTCAAATATACTCCTTGCAAGTGTCTGGCAAAGACCTCATTACTTCTGAACATGTATAAAACTTCATACATGGTTTTTGTTGTGTGTGTGTGCGCATTACATGCCCTATGCAAACCATGAAAAGGCTGGACAAGCAGGTTTTTGAGTGCAGATAAAAGGATTTCACCTGTCAGACTAAAGGCTCCTTCCAAGCAAAATCTACCTTGTATTCTGATATTGCTGCATTCAGTGTTGTTGTTGCTGTTGTTGTTCCTTAGGTGCATCTTTTAATTTTTTTAATTGATTTAGACCAACACCTGTCCTTCCATTTTTATATAATCAAGGATGTAGCGTGACATCGGTGATTCAAAATGGATTAAACTGCACAGTAAAGTCATGTATCCAGTGTGAGTGAGAAAAGGCCTGGCTCCTAATGATCGTGGACACTCGTAGTAACAGTGCCTTATCACAACAGCTGCACTATGAAATGCAGCTGAGGTCTACCAAGAGAGGAGCCCAAATCCGCTCCGGTACAGTGTTAAATGAGAAATGCCAGTGTTTATACACATATTATGGTGGTTCCCAACCAGTCGGGTTGTGAGATGATTTAAGGACTAGTTTGACATTTTTGGGAAATTACTGTTAGCTTAGCATAAAGCCTAGAAACAGCTAGCCCAGCTCTGTTCAATGGTTAAAATATGAAATCAGCCTGTCGGTGTCACTAAAGCTCACTGATAAACACACTCTTCACTTTGTTTTATGAATGTACAAACTGACATGCAACAACAACTTGTGATTTTACAGTCGGTCTGTTAGTTTCCTACCTTTTTAAACATTTCAGTAATTAAACTGTTAATTCATTAGTGAGCTTTAGCTGTGCAGGCAGGTGTATGGTTTACCTGTAGACAGCGAAGGTCGCTGATTTCCCCTTGTTAAACATAACGGTGGTATTATCTGACTAAAGATGCAAATTTCCCAAAATGTTCACTTATTCCTTTTAACAGGAAAGAAAAGTAGGAAAACACATTTCTGCTACTTTTTTTCCTTATGGAAAACTGAAATTTCTTCAAAAAATGATAAAAACAAACAAACCTCACATCAGTTTTTGGTTGAGCTGGTCACAGCTGGTAGATGTATGCTAGCTGTGACAGACATTACTGCTGGACTTAAAGGTTGGGAACCACTGTATTAAACCTTTTCAAGCAAAAACAAAGCCAAGCCATGGTTAAACTGTATATAGTAGTATTAGCAGGTGTAGATGTACTAAAGCACTCCACTGATGAATGGGGAGGAAACACAGCAGCAAGGATTTTATTTTTTACGTATTCTGCCTGTGAGCTTGAGCACCAGAGTCGATCTTGCCGAGTCCTCTCTCTTCCTGCCGTGTTCTGCCTTCTCCCTCCACGAAACATCTCCCATATTTAACTCTCTTTGCATCTTTGCTGTGAGTTATTCCTGCAGTGCGCCCAAGGCCGAGGCCACTGTAGCCGTCTGCAGCAGGCTTGTTATCGCAGAGAACGCGTCTGTGTGTTTTTGATAGTGTGCACACTTTAATGTGGCTTCAGAATTAATTTTGTTGTGGTCACAGATCAGTTGAGGGGAACGGCATCTACACAAACAAAAATGGGAGTTGCTGTTTAAATGATTTAGCAGATAGTGGGAGTTTGTAATAGTGATTGTGTTCTTGTGCAAGACAGTTTGTGCTGGTGAAATATAGTCCTGTAGAAATTCTAGTTTGTCAACAGCATCGTATCAGACTGTAAAATCTGCCCGAGATGATTCATTATAAGACTCAGTCGCAGTCCCTCCTTAATCTTCTGAGAAAAATTAACTCCAAAAATATTGGATGAGAAGAAAATAAACTGAGATGCTGGCATGGTTGGCAGCTCAGATTATTTTTGTGAAGTAGCTCGAGACTGATTTTAAACAATTAAATAACTGTTCTTTTCATTATTGATTAATCTGAAGATTTTATTAACTAATGGTTTGGTCAGAAGTAAGAACATTGAATTTGTCACCTAACAAACAGTCAAATGTTCAATTTGTTATGTGAAAATAAGCAAATATTCACATTTGAAAAGCTGGAACTTGTAGGAAAAAAGCCAAACAAATAACTGATGATTAAAGTTGTTAATGATGAATTTTCTCTGTCCTCATCAATTAAATCATTTCAGCTCTAGATCAATCCATGTTTACGGTCTTTACACTTGGATGAGATGAGGAGAGACTCCTCGCTGGGGGATGCTGTAAAGTGTGTGGCAGTCTTTTTTTTTTCTATGTAGGAAAATCTGTGATTACTGAATATTTGTTGGGGAAAAATCTTTAAAATGGGTCAATCTCCAGTGAGAAGACCTAATCTAGAACAAGTTTTAGCAGGCTTTCTTTGTGGAAAGTAATTTTAAGGCAGTTTGATGTATCTGATCACTAAGACGTCTCGCATCTGGCTGATATTTGGCAAAAGATGGGTTGTTTGTGCTGAATTTCTGTGAAACAGTTTGAAAGCAGGGATGGTTGAACTTTAGTTTGCAGCTGTAACCATGTGCAGACTGTCATGTGACCGAGCTGAGCTGCTGTTGTATGTACAGGATGCCTCCTGTTTTACTTCCTGTCGCCACGACATGATCAGATCTGAATGCTCTGATCAGTCTATTACACTGCATTACATATACAGATACAGTACTATACCACTGAAGGAACTGCTCTTCATGTTCACTTCATTTAGTATCAACACTGTGATTATATATATTTCATTTGATTTACATCATTCTTTCTACTTGATCAGTGTGTCTGGTAAATAAATGATATTGTCTTATTTGTCTCTGAAAAGAAATGTTCTTTCAGTAGGAGTGATTGTTTCAGTTTATCCACTGGTATATTTGTGTCCCTTGATTGTTAGTCACATGAATTGTTTTCTCCATAGATTAAAACAATAGCATTAGATGGGTAACGGGATGGAAGAAGAATCGCGCCAGCTGAAAGATGCAATGTTCACTAATGCAATTTGTTCTTTTTGTCCCACATTAGCAGTGTGGCTACCAGTGGTGAAGTATTCAGGTCTTCAGCAAAACCACTGATACCACTCTAAAAATACTGTCACTGCACTGAAAATGCTTTGCTGTAAATAAGTGTGTAGATATAGTCGTAATAAATAAGTAGCCCCTGTTACTGATGTACCGTTATATCACTACTGTAGCTTATTACATTTTAAACTATTTCTCAGTTAACCGATTCATTTATTTGTAAAAAATTCATTTCAAATTCCCATTTTCTGTAAGCCTCTCCTGGAATTGCCACTTTAACATGGTGGAGAGGTTTGTGTGATCTCAGGAGCTGTGTTGTCTGGGGCATTAGCCCCTGGTAAGGTCTACCAAGGCAAATTGGTTCCAGGGGAAGGGCCACACTAAGATCGATTCAAAAACACTGATGAAAATGGTCACTTCTTGTTGCGCTACCTTGCCCAGATTAGGAAAATTGGGGCACCCTGCTGCAGCCAAACCTGGGAGGAGAGCTTGCTGGCAAGCAGCTGGCGGCTGGTCCTTGGCCCATGAAGTCTGGTCAGGCATAGCCCTGTAGATCCACCACCTGCAGGTAAAGGAATCGGGATGGGGTGCAATGTATGTTGGGTGGCAGGCTAGGTCAGGTACCTGGGCATGTTGATCCCTGGCTGCATAGGCTAGCTCTAGGAATGTGGAATGTCCCCTCTCTGGTGGGGAAGGAGATGGGGCCTGTGCAAGAGATGGAGTGATACCAACTAGATATATTTGGGCTTATTTCCACAGATGGTTCTAGCTCTGGGACCAAACTTTTGGAGAGAGGGGCCCTCTCTGGTGGGGAAGGAGATGGGGCAATACAAACTAGATATATTTGGGCTTACTTCCACAGATAGTTCTGGCTCTGGGACCAAACCTTTGGAGAGAGGGATTGGACTCCATCCTTTTCCAGAGTTTCCCAGGTTGAGAGGTGCCAGGGAGGTGTGGTGATACTCACAAATCCCAGGATGAGCGCTGCTGTGTTGGAGTTCTCCCTGTGGAAATTCACTGGGAAGAAAGCCCCAACTGTTGTTTGTGTCTATGTGCTGAACAATAGTTCGGAGTATGTAGCCCTCTCGGAGACCCTGGGTGGGGTCCCCGAAAGAGCACCACCTTGGTACTCTATAGTTATTTTGGAGGACATGGACGATGATGGAGAAACCTGAAAGGGGGTGATTGGGAGGAACAGCCTGCCCAATCTGTTCCCGAATGGTGCTTTGTTATTGAACTTCTGTGCTAGTCATGGATTAGCCTTAATAAACACCATGTTTGAGCATTGGATTGTTCATAAGTGGACTTGGTTCCAGAACACCTTAGGCCTTAGATCAACTTTGTTGTTGTATCATTGGATTTAAGTCCTTATGTCTTGGACTCCTGGGCAAAGAAAGGAGCAGAACTGTCATCTGATCGCTACCTGGTGGTAAGTTGGAGGGTGGGGGGAGACTGCTGGATAGGCCTAGCAAACCCAAATGTGTAGTGAGGGTATGCTGGGAATGCCTGGCTGAAGCCCCCTGCCCAGGAGGTCTTCGACCTACACCTTTCAGAAGAATTTCTCACACGTCCCAAGGGAGGCTGGAGATATGGAATCCAAATGGGCCATGTTCAAATCCTCCATTGTAAAGGAAGCTGTTCTGAGTTGTGGCCAAGAAGTCGGTGGTGCCTGTCGTGGCGGCAACCTGAGAACCTGCTGGTGGACACCAGCAGTGAAGGATGCCTACAGGACTTGGTTGGCTCAGGGGTCTTCCAAAGCAGTTGATGAGTACTGGCAGATCAAAAGCATGGCAGCTCGGATGGTTGCAGGTGCAAAAACTGGGGTGTGGGAGGAGTGTGAGGCTATGGAGAAGGACTTTTGGTTGGCCTCAAGGAAGTTCTGGCAAACTGTCCGGCGACTCAAAGGGAAAGCAGGGCTTGGCCCAGACTGTGTTTGGCAGGGGAGGAGAATTGCTGACTTGGAGTGGGGATGTTGTCAGGTGGTAGATGGAGCACTTTGAGGAACTCCTCAACCTGTCTAACATGTCCTCCAAGGAGGAGGGAGAGGTAGAAGACTCAGGAAAAACCTCACCCATATCTCTGGTAGAGGTCACTGATGTAGTCAAATAACTCCTCAGTTGCAAGGCACCAGGAGTGGATGAGATTCACCCTGAGATGCTGAAGGCTCTGGACATTGCTGGGCTGTCTTGGTTCAGTGTCACATGGAAGACTGGGACAGTGCCTGTGGACTGGCAGACTGAAGTGGTTGTTCCCATTTTTAAAAAAAGGGGACCAGAGAATGTGCTCCAATTATTGGGGTATCACACTACTCAGCCTCCCTGGGGAAGCCTATGCCAGGGTGCTGGAAAGGAGGCTCTGAACAATTGTCGAACCTCAGATTCAGGAGGAACCATGCGAATTCTGTCCAGGTCAAGGAACAATGGACCAACTCTTTACCCTTGCAAGGTTACTGGAGGGATCCTGGGAGTTTGCCCACCCAGTCTAGACATGTTTTGTGGCCTACAACTGGGTCCCTTGTGGTGGGATACTTTGGAAGTACTGGGCACCAGGGCCGTCGTTATGAGCCATCCGGTCCCTGTATAACTTGAGTGAGAGATGTCTGTATACTCTGCAAGAGGTCAAATGTTGTCAGTTGGTGTCAGCCTTCATCAGGGCTGTCCCTTGTCACTGATTCTGTTTGTGATTTCCATAAACAGGATCTCAAGGCGCAGCCAGGGGGAGGAAAGTGTCTGGTTTGGGGACCTCGGAACTGCATCTTTGCTATTTGCCAATGATGTGGTTTTGTTGGCTTCATCAGACTGTGACCTCCCATGGTGCTCTGCCAGAAAATGCTGGACTGCTCCCTCTGGGTTGGGAGTGAGTTGCTGCCCCAAGTGAAGGAGTTTAAGTATCTTGAGGTTTTATTTACAAGTGAGGGTAAAATTGAGCATGAGACTGACAGGCAGGTAGGGGCAGCATCAGCAATAAAGTGGACATTGTACCAGACTGTTGTGGTGAAGAAGGAGCTGAGCAGAAAGGCAAAGATCTCAATTTACCAGCCAGTCTACGCTCCAACCCTCATCTATGGTCATGAGCTGTGGGTAGTGACCAAAAAAATAACATCATGAATACAAGTGGCTGAAATGAGTTTCCTTCATAGGATGGTTGGACTTGTGAATACAAGTGGGGTGTGGAGATCAGACATCCGGAAGGGACTTGGAGTAGAACTGATGCTCCTTCACACTGAAAGAAGCCAGTTGAGGTGGTTCGGGCCTCTTATTAGGATTCTTCCAGGATGTATCCCTTTGGAGGTCTTCGGGTCATGTCCAACTGGTAGGAGACTCCAGGGCAGACCCAGAACACGCTGGAGAGATTGTATCTCATCTGGCCTGGGAACGCCTCGGAATCCTGCCAGAGGAGCTGGAACATGTTGCTGGGGAGAGGAACGTCTGGACTAGCTTGGCTGAACCTGCTGCCATCGTGACCCGACCCCCGATAAGATAATGAATGGATGGATTTTCTGTAAGACTCAAACTAAAAAAAGAAGAGTAGGTCTATTCTTTGGAAATAGTAGTGTGACAAAGTAAACCCAACTAATGATGTCTCCTCTCTCCCGTAGTGTGTCCCCTCTCTCGCTCCCTGTACCTTTCTGCAGGTAGCCCTGGTTCTGGAGCCTTACGTTTCTGATGAGCAGTTACCGGCCACACCAACCAGCTCACTGCTTGCTTGTCGTTTTGAGGCTTTTCTCTCTCTCCTCTGTCCACTCACCCCAACTGGTCGAGGTAGAAGGTCATCCACCAAGAGCTGGGGTCTGTTGCTGAGGAAAATTGAGGTGTAATGAAAAGCCTGGAAACGGCTAATAAATAGACCTTGATTTAAAATGATTTTGTCCATCGTATAGATATAACATTTAAAACCCATTAGTTGATATTTTTTTCATGAAGTAGTTTAGAACAAAATGTAAACCTGCAAAAACAATACTTTTATTCAAATTCTATTTACAGCATTGTCACAGAAATCAATCAAGTGTATATATAACTAACTTCTAAGAATCATTTTTCAAGTTGTAAAAAAATACCCAAATATTTTGATAGAACACATTATGAAATGGTAAATGGTAAATGGACTGTATTTATATAGCGCTTTCTCACAGTGTGTTACACTGGCCAAAGCGCTTTACAGGAGATCATACACCATTCACCCATTCACACACACATTCACACACCGATGACGAGAGCATACATAATGACGAAACGAAATGAAAAGGAGGAAAATGTTTAAATGCTTCATCTCCATCCTAAATGGACATTCTTACAACATTCATGGCAAAACGGTTGATAGAAATTGTGCTGCTTGTTCAACAGTGCAAACAAACTGCATGGAGACCACCACCTTGCTACAGTATTACCTTACATTGTGTTCATATGACCAGTTGTCCACTCTCTTACAATGAAGAGCTGTTTATTAAACACCATACCTCCATCTGCAGAGTCCCTGAGAACCAGGAATAAAACAAGTTTCAGTATTTTTCCGTCACTTCTCAGCATCATTCGTCCACTGTCAGCTCTTGCAGCTGCTCCTGCACCACCTCCAGCTGCTCTGTCTGTTTCTCCTCGTCTGGCTCGGACTCCTGCTCCTCTGCCTCCTGGTTCGTCTGCTCCTCTGATGCTTCATCCTGGAGTTCTTCCTCCGCCTTTGGCTCTTCTCGTCCACTTTCCAGAGTCTCTGAGCTCTCGAAACAGCCTGAATCTCTCGGCTCCTTGGCGTCGGATTTGTCCACCTCTTCCTCTGGCTCTGACTCTTCTTCAGCTACATGGAGCAAAAAGATTTGTATTTTAATAGAGAATGTCCCAATGTGATATTTTGTTTTATTAGCACACGACTCTGAAAGGTCCTTTCATTCCTGCCTTTAGAGAAAACCCATCTGCTACCGAGGGAAATTCTTGACTTGCTCCACTATTTTCCACCAGCTAATTAATAACTGTCTGTCTGAGATGGATACTTCATTGAGCCCGAGGGAAATTCAGGTATCCAGGTCGGCTGTTTGTTGCTGAGCAGGTGATGTACAGTAGGTGTTTAGAGCTGCGTGTGGAAACAGCCGCCTGGTGTGGCTGAAAACAGCATTATGAGAGTCATAATGGGCTGGCAGCTGAACAACTGACCGACAGTCACTATAAAGCTGTGGAGCTGCAGATTTATGTTGAAATACTCTGGAGGTTCATCACTTGAGCCTTTCACATTGTTTTCACAAAAACTAGTTGAGCAAGTTGGGTTGTTTTGGCCGCCCAAATGTTTTTGGGGCATGTTGACTCACTGTAGCACCATCTCCACTAAAAGTTGACAAAATTCTGCAGTGCAGTCGCAGCAAGTTTAGAATAAAGAGTTCATCTTATTATATTTATCCATTATATTGGATTTAAATTAGCTCCAACTCTAAAAGTAATTAAGATGCATTATATACTTCATTAAAAAAAGGGAAAGATCCCTGAGCATAATAGTAGAATAATATTAACAGATAATATTTAATGTACCTGAGGTCAATGTAATTTTTAACATTTCATTTTCTTTATAAGAAAATTTCAGATTCTCTTTCCTGTTGCAATGTATCATGTCCTATAACTTTCTCTTGGTCCTGATACTGATCTCAGCAGCTACGCTCCCAGTCTCCCCTAATTAACACGATGAATTGTATTGGTGCAGCTAACTGTAATTGAAAGTTAATTGAAATCCATAAACTGCTGTTGCTGCAGGACAGGTGTTAAAATCATTCTGAATGATTTGTCTGGAGGGGAGATGAGCCAAGATCTAAGCATAACTGCTGTGGGTGTGATGCTGTGGAACTGGGCCAGAAAATGTAGCTGAAAAATATGCCGATAGCTTGAGCATTTCCCTAAACACATATTTTACACGTATGTACTGATGAGCAATTGTCCCTAACTGACTTTTTTGGAATTTTTTCTTTTCCGCCAGCAGGGTAGAATCATTACGACAGGCTGTTGCAGCTTTACACTGTGTGAACTTACAGTCTCTGAGCAGTTCGGCGGCATTCAGGATCTTGGAGCGCTGCTCAGGATCAGTGATGTTCAGCTCATTGAGGTGAGACTCCTTCAGTATTGCAAAGTCCTCCAGGCTCTGGAACCCGTGCATGGACAGCAAAGAATTCAACTCCTAAAAAAAAACAACAAGAAAATGTACAGGAACATAAATTGAACAATTATGATACAGACAATGAAGCACTAAGTTCAGCTGCACCACCGACTTCTTGGCCACAACTCAGAACAGCTTCCTTTACAAGTGTCGTCAGTGGTTCTTACCGTCAGGCCCATGCTGTCCAGCACCTCCTCCAGGGTTCTGGGTTTGGATTTGCTGCGGCGGTTGCTGTTGCAGTTTCTCCTCCTGGCTGGGGGGCTCTCGTCAGGCAGGAGGTTGACGTAGATGAACTTAAAGGAGCCCACTTTGTTGTTGAGTTTCCCTGTCCAGGTCCCCACAGGAGGCTTCTCAATAATGTGGATGATGTCTCCTTTCTGAGAGAGATGATGCATGAATACCAGGCTTAGATCAAGGGCACAGATGAAAGGATGAACAAAACAGGGGCCTTGAGAACAAGAATCCTTAGGTGATTTACAGTATTCATCTTGGGTTTAAAATGTACAATAACTGATCTAACTGCTGACTGCTTGATCCAGTTACTGCTGACAAACTCAAAATATGGTAACTTTCACCTTGACAGAAGCATAACAAAGGAAGTGAGGTGTAAATGAGTAACTGCCTGAATGGCTCCAAATATTTCAATATTCTTAGTTTTCTAATAGTGCGCCATTGTATAACTGGCACTAACACAGTCACTAATGCAGTCATGTTATTGTGTCAGACACACAGTGGGTAATGTGTTCTTCATGAAGAATAAAGAAAACTGCTTGTTTCACAGGGTTAGCGAGCTCCCTGGAGGGCGACAGCAGGCGAAGCAAGGACCAACACGGCCAGAGAGACTCACTTGGAGTTTCAGTGACTCCACATCGTACGGGCTGGGAGTGAAGTCAGTGTGGACCAGAGCTCGGCCACAGAACGGCCCGTTGTAAGCGATGCCGTTCTCCTCCAGTCTCATGCTGTCCCTCTGGCAGTACCCGCTGTCCAAGCTCTGTCTGTCGCTACCTGAAGAGGACACAGAGTGTGAAGAGGGGTCAGATTCATCCTTAGCCTTCAGATCATTATGGTTTACATCAGGGGTTTTCAAAGTCTGAGTTTTCAACACAGTACAGTATAGAGGAGCATGTCTTGAGGTCTTGTTTTTCTCACTACTGGATTAATGATTTTGTCACTCCTGTTATTTCTGTCTTACTTCGGTTTGGGCCATAATCATGCTCTAAGTTTTGAGACTACAGTTCCCATATTTAGATCCATAAAGTTGACATGGCATATGTGCACCATTAAAAAATATGCTGATTTAGCTATAACCAGCTTCTATTTACAATGTACTCCCACAAACTATCACTGGATTATTTTGATTCAGAAGTAAACTTGATTTTTCAGGAAGGTTCTGGAGCTATGAAGAGCTGTGAATGATACCCCCAGACAATGTAAGCTGCACCGAATCTTAAAATGTGTGTGCCATGTCTGTGTGTTCACATTTGACTGAGTTACCTCCAAGAAGGAAAAGCTTAGACACAAATTGCACATTTCTCCCCATCCACTCTCTGATGGCCCTCTCCAGGTTTCTCCTTCCACTTTCCCTCACAGTGTGAAAGCCTCAGGTTTACAGGAGACACAGAGTTGCACTTACTGCCAGAGAGCTGGCATCTGATGAGGCTGGGCATGGTGTCCTCCGAGCCCGAGGAGCACACAGACGTCCTCTGTCCTGCGATCAGATCTGGAATCCAATCAGAAGAGACGGGAGACAGCTCCTCACTGCTCTCCCCCTGGTGAAGACGGCAGTGCAGGTCAGAAGTCAGGTTAGTTTTTTTTTTTTCTCATTCCACACAACTCTTTCATGCCAGGTTTTATGAGCTGTGATGGTGCAACAATTTTATATACTGTTTTATTTAAAGAGCCAATGGCATGCTCTTTTCCAGCCATTTAATATTTAATCCTGGGTACCTCTACATTAGCTTCCAAGTAGCCTGTTATTATTTCAGATCAATAAAACCCAACAGCCTCTTCCTGAAAACGAGAAGAAAGTTTGCAAATGTGAACAACTCTTGTTGCCGGTGTTGCGTCAAAATCGGTTTACTCATCGAGATGCATTTCCCCTGACATTATGCTAACCACAAACACTACATGAAACCGAGTTCTGAAGAGGGGAAACCCATCTTGACACAAAACCGGTCAGGACGCCAGGACAACATATAAGCAAACAGTGACGAACTATGTTTTCGACAAAGATAATACCTCAAATCCTACCTGACATGTTCGAGGCAGAATATGAAAGCAGGCAGCAAGACGAACTGCAACGACATTAATTTACATATCTATGGAGGAGAAATTCAAACAGTATATGAACCAATGAAAACAGACGTGTAACACCCTAAACAAAGTGGGTAGTCGAGAAACTCCATACTTTAACTGGTATAATGCAGACATAGTAACTTCTCCAGCCTTACAACAATTCTCTACAGAAACAAGGCATTAACAGACATGCAATGTGCGTTTTTTTTTTTTTTTTTTTTAAACTTATCGTTTTGTCTCACTGAGGAGTGGAAACTTCAAGGTCAGTAAATCCAACTGGTGATCACAGTCTTCCCCTACAAATCCCTCATGTTACAGGTGACCACATACAATCCCAACAGGTAGCCTTGCACTGACAATAACATCATGGGTCGCTAGAATCCTCTCTCCACCCTGCATCATATCACACGTGGCAGACAAAACAAAAAAGTACTATGCTCCAGAGGAATCCAGCTTTGATGAGCTAATCTTTCACCACCCAGGGTGCTTCACAGGCCGGCTGCTTGTAGGTTTCCAGCTGCTCCATTCACACCTCGTTAGACTCGTCGGGTAAAACAGCGAGTCCCTGTACAGGAACATTCCTGGACATGCAGTAACTTTGGGCCCTGTATTTTTCTCCACATCCTCTGGTCACAGTGCAGCAGCAGAAGGTAAAATATATCCACAAAACCGCATGCAGTTGAAAAATTCCACCTTTAAAATGGCACCGGTGGATGTCAGGCAATCTCAAATGAACACACACAGCCAGGAGAATATGACCTTTCAAGGAAATCCGTGAACTACTGCATAAGGCTCTACATAGTTAGGGGGAGAAAAGGTCTCACCAGCGAGAGTTCACAAGACTTGTATAAACCAGGATGCTTCTGCATAGAAGTACAGCGTCATAGGTACACCTCGTTTTATTGAGCTTTCAGTCAGAAAACAGAAAAGCATGCCACGGGCTCTTTAATCCAAGACAATGCACCAGTTGTCATCTTGTGTTCTGTGTGAAAGAGCTTGGTGATTGTAGTCATCACACAGATGTAGTGAAGTAAAATGTCTGACTTGTAGTTGAGTAGAAGTATAAAGTGGTATGAAATGTAAATTACAAGTGCCTACAATTAGTACTTAGATACTATACTTGAGTAAATGTACTTTCACTTATCTTTTAAACAATGCAACACAAACATTTGTCCACTAGATGGAGACAACTTTAATATTTTGTAACTATTCTGTTTCAGGAGCAGAAATGTCTTTACAGATGTCAAGCGGTGTTTGTGTATCAGCAGCTACGTACAATAAATACTATTTACAGTTGGTATGAATTGTTCTGTGATCTTCATGTGTTAGTCAGGTTATTGTAACGTTAATTAAAGAGTCTTTACCCCCTCCTCAGCCAGAGCCTTCTGCACCATCTTGGATGTTTTGCGGGTCATGGTGCGTGAGATGACATTGCGCCACTTTTTGCCCAGTTTGCTGCCACTTTTCACCGTTTGCTCTTCTGTTATGTTCTCTGCCACCTGAGACGAGAGTAAAAAAAAATAAATCATGCGACACAAATGTTAGGAAATGAGAGGATGTGTGGTACAGCCTTGTTTAAATTAAGCACATTTTGTGAGTATCTTTAAAAATGACTAACTATGCCAGTGACATACATCAACTTTCATAGTGTCACTGTCAAGTGTTCTTCTCATAAACTAGAAAACTCAGGTTCAGGTTCGAGTTTGGTTTAGTGAAGGGTTGCAATTAGCTCTGACGGTTAAGTGTTAGGGTAAGAGGCTAGTGATTGCATTATGTCAGTGTGTCCTCACCAAGATAGAAGTACAAGTAATGTGTTTGCGCACACACATTTGTATAGCTATTTTTATGAGGACATTCTCTGACATAATGCATGCCCTAGCCTCTTACCCTAACACTTAACACACAACTAAACACCTAACCACAACCCTTCCCCTAACCTATACCTAATTCTAGCCTTAACCCTAAAACCAAGTCTTGGCCGTCAAACGGCCCTTTGAAGGGGTCTGAGACGGTGAGGACCAGCCAAAATGTCGCCACTCCCATGCTTTAAAATTCAAACCTTTCCTCACACTGCTGACCAAACAAATACACACATGCACACTGCTGATACCCACAAAGTCACATGCTCACACATACTCACTCCTGCACTTTAATGTGGGCAGGTGCTTGAAAGCGGAGTTTCTGAGAACAGTACCTAACAAAGTGCATCTGCTCTGGCTGGGTAGTGGAAGTTCATGGTGTTTGCTGTATTTTTATGAGGCAATTAGTTACAGCAAATGTTCTTTGACACCTTGTGTTGAGTAATTTGCAAAGGAAAGTAACATAAATACTGCAGAGCACTGTTGGATTAAGGGAAAATAGAGCATTATTGCAGAAGAATAGTTTGTCCTGACTGCATTAGACCTTTGAAACACTGAACATCATTCTGTGGTTATTGGAGGCAGCTAGTGGCGTGTTTAATGACAGGGAGTATCCACAACAGTCCACAGTAGCAAGGCGTATCAGTTGTTTGTTCACACATTCTGTAGTCAAACCCAATGTTTTCAAGCCTTTTAAGCACTTATACTTATGTTCACTTTCTGCTTCTTAGCTGAATTTTCTTTGAACTATTTTTTATTAAGCACCACAGTGAAGAGACCACAGAGTGACCACAGTGACAAACACACAACTGCTGCAGAGACTGAAATGCAACAGTTGAATTCTCAGCACGGACTTCAATGTCTGAGCTAAAATGCAGAAATAAAAATACATGGTGTAATGTTTACTGCTTCTGCAACTGTCTGCCTGACACAGAGCAGGCTCTCTGCTTGACTAGATCACACCAGAGGACATCCTGTCTGCATGCTGCTGTCAACTCAGCTCTGTGCAGTGCTTCTTGTTCTTACTTCCTCTCATTTTCTATACCTCTTTGCCACCCAACTTCCACTCACACTGCTAAGAATATTACTGGGAAGTTAAATTTCTGTGAATTCTGAGGTGTTAACTTGCATACATAACTGCATAGCAGTGTGTTAAAGCAGGAAGCAAAAACCATGCACTTCTGTAACCGTAATAACTGATAACAGTTTCTGCTTGAACTCGGTGCACTCGGGTCTTCTCTCGATGCAGCGTCATTAAGGGGCTGGATGAAACACGGTCTGACGAATGAGGAACAAAAGGATGAAATATCTAAAGGAACTGTCATTTAGGAACTTAAAACAAAGAGTTTAGAAAAATACAAGGAAATATTTTCTAAACAGTGAGGTACTGTGTGCCAGATGATGTTCCTGTGTATTTTTATGTGCCTGTTTGAGTAGAATGAGTGAGTCCAACTTACATGCTCCTCCAAAGTGAACTCCTTTTCTGACACAACAGGAGAGGTGGGTTTGTGCTTCATAAAATCCTTGAAGCTGCTGGATCTCTGCAGGGTGAGCTGTATACACACAATAATTTGCACTCATTTAAAATCATAATGACAAAGACCAAGACGAGCACATTGAAGCAACAGAACAGCAATAAAAGTTTTATTGCAAAGCAAATGGTGTAGACAAAACGAGGTCCCCCAGAAAAACATCAGGAATCTATTGATATCACTGCTGTACATGCTTGTGTTCTCATCTCTTCACATGTGAATCCACAAGGGGATTTCTAAGAAGGACCAACCGTCCATGTCTCACACAGTGATCAAAGATAAAGACGTGAATCTGGTTCATTTAGTGTCTGCGTTTTGCAGATAGTGCTGTAGCTGCTTCTGAAGAAGTTTCAGGAAAATCAGAAAGTCTGTGTAAAACAACAGCACCAATTCATGTAATTTTAAACCAATGCCACAATTAAGACAGATGTTTTTAGTATGAATCTGAAAGAGGACGTGGAATAAATCTACTGTAAGACCATTTTATTGGTCTAAAATTCTCCATTCTGAACTCTAAGTCTGGTAGAGGGGTGCACTGCATGTCAGACCGTAGTAGATACTGCCTCTCACACTTTGACACCCAAGATCTTGTCTTAAAATTTTCTCCAAGCAACAGTCAAAAACCTAACAACACTAAATTTACTATCACATAAAACAAATTAAATCAGCAAAACCTCATAATTGAGGAGATGAACTGGGGTATTTAGAGCACTTTGGCATGAAAAATGACTAAAATTATGCCATTAGCTACTAATTTGTGTTCTGTCAAACAGTAAGTAATGGCCTGACCTTTGCAGCACATTGTCTGTTAACATATCACTTGCATTAGCTGAAAATACTGTTTCCCCTATTTTCATTCTTTTGCATACTTCCCACATCTCAGTGTTTCCTATAGCTATAGTGGAATTTTTAATGCAAGTTTCTATATAGCCACATGTCATTGTGCATCCTTCTTCAATCTTTGTACCAGTAAAACCACAGGAAACGGGCAAGCCTTGAGCGATTGCTGGCAGCCAATCATTGCACACATCCAGTCAGTGTTGATGAATGATGATGTCTGTGTCTAACCTGAATAGTGCAACCACCAGTGGAGCCAAGGGAACAAATGAGCTTTTATTATGTGTTTGTGCTATTTCTCCTGCCATATCTCCTCTCTCTTAAAAGCCACAGAACTTTCAGCTGCGTCAATCCTCTTAACTCTGAAAGATGTGAAGGGGTGACTCCAAATGCAATTCTTGTCAGTGAAAATGATGTGCTAGCAGATGACTGCTGAGAACTAAGGCAATGAGATATGAAGTGACAAGGCGTGAATCTGACCACAAGCGGGGAGATGTGGATGGAAAATAAGGGCAATGGTGTTGAGTGTAGGAGGCTCACTGTCATGATGGCAGCTGGAGGTGCAGGCAGCAGAAACCACAAACCCTGCTCTGACTCAAACTACATCTGCAGCAATGATTCACCCTGCCAGAATAGAGGAACCTTCTAAAAACAGTACAAAGAATAAGCTGAGACTTCAACTAGACACCAAAAGTTTTAGACAAAAAGATCTCATTGAGCTTTAAGTTTTGTGCGCGTTTGTGTCAGGTTGTTCATCTTCACTGCAAAATTGAAACCAGACACACGAGCTGACATCCTGTGTTAAAAATATATGCCCGCAAAGACAACTGCACAGGATGGTGTAGTGCAAATATATAAAAATAAATATTAAAAAACTGTCTAACAAAGCCCTCTTCACAATCAGTCTATAATATTTATGTTTATAAAAGCTCAATTTGAATACTTAAACCATAAGCCACCTTCACCTCACAAAACAAAAAGTAAATACTCAAAAATAAACTCACCTTCTTCTTCTGCTGCTGCTGCTGCTGCTGCTGCTCCTTCTCAGAGGCATTTGAAGGTCTTCGCCTCAACATCTTCTTCCTCAGCGGTCCTCAAATCTCTCTGGACAAACAGCTGTAAGAAAGCTACACTGGCTTTAATCACTCAGGGTTTCTGTCACAGTCTGTCACTGCAAATGAAGTCGGGTAAAAAAAAAAACAGAGGAAGGCAGAACTGCACTGGGCTGCATCTGAACAAAGTGCAGAAGCTGAGAGGAAGTCACGTGGCCATACAGAAACTGTTTTTGGTGCTCAGGTTTACACACAGGCCAGTGGGTTTGTTACATGTGTTTCCCTCCTGTGAGTGCTATAAGATCTCAGTGGCTCACAACCGAACTGACACGTGAAACAATTCATGTAAATGTCATCACAACTTTGGTTTTGACTGTTAGGCTGATAGAGGTCAAAGAGAAAGCGGTTTTTCTGTGAATCCTGCCTGATGCAAGCCATGTGAAGACGGGGATCAAATCACTGAGGTCTCTAGAGCTTCTCTTGCTACAGTGTCACAGCTGTAATGATGAGCCACAATGCGTCTTGCACTCATGAAATTACAACATTTCTACTCCTACACACGTGTTCGTAAATTACAACATTTCTACTCCTACACACATATGTGTTCGCCAGAATGATGAAGTAACTTTGCTCGCAGGAAAGAGCTTTATCAAGCAGCCCGCCAGTTCTGTTTAACTGTTACTTAATAATAAATGAATAATCTTTATGTCCCAGCCAGACCATGTTTTTATGATTTCTCACCTTGTTTGTTTTGCCATCGTTCTCATATGAGCACATATGTGGCATTGCAAGTGAAGTGTGGAAGTGAAAAAAATCCAGAGATGACATGTTTAGAAACTCAGTAACAGCTTTGCAGCTGCAGCAGAGGCCTGTTGCAGCTTCAGGGGCCCGTAAAAACATCACAAACTAGTGATCAGAGAGAAAATGGTTTCTGGGACAAAGGGTTTGACAGGCCAGACACATACTGGCACTGTAAGATCGTCCGGCACAGACATTTAAGAGGACAACTTGAGTGACTCAAATGTCTTTGAATGTATATTCAGCCAGCAGGACAAGGCAAAGATTGGTGCCAAAGCAGAGAGGGAAGTACAGTTTAAGTAAAGTTTAGCTTGTTATTTTGGTGGGGCAGCAAACCACATGATAGGATCATGCCCTATTTTAGTTTCCCGTCACTCAACTAAAAGTTGGCAACAGTCTGATCTGTTAAAGGGACAAGATGATATACAAAAAAGTGGATTTTCATTGTACAATACCTGTAACCTAAGCAGTGGAAGAAATATTAACATCCTTTAATCAAGGAAAAGTACAAATATGATGTTTTAAAAATATCAAAGCAACCTCATTACAAGTAAAAGAAAAGAAAATGTTACATACAAAATTAACAGGATATTAAACAACTCATCATGCACAATATTATTAGAATGTACACTCACCAGCCACTTTATTAGGCACACCTGTACAACTGTATGCACTCCGATGCAACACTTCCACCTTAACATCTGTGTTTCTGAAGCTCAAATGGTTTCAGTTTTTGGTGAAATGGTCAAAAATATATATTCAGTTATATTTTTATTATTGAAGCTGTAGTTAAAGGTGGTGTTGTACTGGAGGACATTATAGTCAAAGGTGTTCCTAATATTCTGACCCTCTCATCTACTGTATGTACGTAGCAGGGGAGGACATAAATATAGAGAAACCAATTGTGTTTGTCGTTTTTCATCACTACTAGGAGGATCCTGATAACTGGAGACGACTATGATGCTTAACAGCGACTACAGAGGTAACAACAGAAGAGACTTTTTTCAT